AGTGGCAGTGAGAGCAGAAGCTGGAAAACACCCGAGGACTCATTGCAAGGGGACACAGTGGTGGGTAGCGCTTTCCTGCAGAGGAGCGCACTGCAGCCGTTCACAAAAGTGGGGAAGTTCTTCATGTATTGATATGGAATGGTTTCCAAGATGTAGTGGTAAATTAAAAAGAACAGAAGAATGAGAATACTATATTACCATTCGCCTTAAAAAGTCTGTTATATGCACATATGTGATTTCAAATGTACAGACACTCTCAGAAGAAACATACTGTGTAACCAAGAAACTGGGAACACTGGTGGCCTCTGGGAAGGAGGAAAGGAACCAGGAATAGGTAGAAGGGAGACAAGTTTTCACTGGATACTGTGGTGTGCCTTTAAATTTTGTACCATGTGCATCTGTTACATAATCAAATAAAATTAAAATAGCTATTTTTAAAACAATTCCAGATCTGCTATGTACTAGCTAAGTGATGCTGAGCCTTAGCCGTGGTTTCCTTATCTGTAAAATGCAGGTGACAGTACCTTTGCTTCATAGGATTGCAGATACGAAACAGGGTAATACATAAAAATCACTTAGTATACTGCCTACCTGTTAAGTAGTCAGTAACTGTTAGCTGCTCTTAACATTAACATCTATATTATTATGGTTTATTACCTTATAGGCTAATCGTGAGAATGAGCAGAATAACATATTGTATACATTAGTACAAATAAATAGCACAAATAATAAGCAAATAAATAAATAAAGTATATTTTAGCACAATGTCTGGCACAGTGTGTGTGTGCATGTCTGTGTGTGTGTTTAACACAGTACAAATAAATAAATATATGTGTGTGCATATATATTTTTAAGGGAGCTAGGATCATGGTCTCGATACTGCTCTGTAACCTGATTATTATACTTAATACATTTTAAGCATTTTTCCTGCAACGTTCATTATCAGGAGCATTCCTATTTTGCAGTGATAATGGTGGGCCAGCAGTGCACTCTGGGAGAGCTGAGTGTTAGTGGTTCAGAGCAGCAGTGCCGTCTCCCTGTCTTTAGCTCGCGAGGTGGAGAATGCAGCCGGGAGCCAGCAGTCCAGTGTCACTTGCCGGCTCTGAGCTGTCAAGACCAAGCTTCTTAAATTCTCTGCGCCTTCCTACCTATAGCATTCTCTTGAGGATTAAAAATAAGTTAAAGCGACAAATCCTGGGCAAAGAGGCTCAACAAATAATTATTAATTGCTGCTGATGTTTCGTTTTAATCCAATAGTGTCCATAATGAGGTGTGTGCATGAAGATCCATTGGGAGCAAAAGAAAATAGTAGCATTTCTGTTTCTATTTCATTTTAATCTCACTTTTTTACAATCTATTTTTGTGTATATATATCACTATATCATCAATATATTAATACATCAATTAATATATTAATATTAACTATATTAATATATTTTAATATTAATATAGTAATATTTTTACTATAGTAGCACTTTTTTAGACTAATAAACATTTGTAACTTGAAGGTACACGCTCAAATTCTTTTTACTGATAGGAATATACAAAATTTTATCTAGGGCATTATTTCCATCTGGTGGCCAGTTGTGTGGGTTTTTATAAATTAATTTCTCCTAGCATTGAACCTCAGTCTCCAAAGGTAAAGAAGTAGTTTGTCAATTTAATGCTATGCCACAGTTTAGTCTTAGGACATCTCAAAAAGATTACTCAAGTAATAATTATAGTAATAGTAGTAATAATAATATCACATCATATTTTACAAAGCTTCCTAGTGCCTCATAAATTATAATATACGAACAAGCTTAGACAATAGAATAACTACTGATTTTCAAATGTAATTGCTTCATATGTAATTACAAATGTTAATCATGGCATTAAAGTTTGGTATACATTTACAAAGGGAAAAACAAAATTGAGGTTTTAGTAGGGCAGAAAAACACTAGCTTTAAAAATGAAATCTGAAACCATGAAAGGAATTTCAACCTTCCTAGTAATCAGAAATGATCACTAAATGCAGATTGACTGCAAATGCAAACTGAAACCTTAAAGTACAATTTCTTGCCCACCTTGTTGGCAGAGACGTTAAAGACTGATGATCACCCAGGCTTGGTGAGTCTGTGGGGATTGCTCTGGTGTAAATCCGTACAGTGACTTTAGAGGACAACTTGGCAGCATTTTCAGAGATAAAAATGTTCATGCCATTCATTGTCTCTGGATCTGCCATAGGGAAACACACAAAGAAGCATGTTCATTGCAGCACTGCTGTTAACAGCAAGCAGTTGAGGACAGCCATCTTGGGAGAATAGTTTAAATTGTGACTTTTAAAAAATTAAAATTCGATTCATATACCATAAACCTCATAATTTCAAAGTGTACAATTTACTGCTTTTTAGTATATGCACAGAGTGGTGCAACTACCACCACCACTAACTCCGGGACATTTTCATCCTTCCTAAAAGAAACCCTCTCCCCAATAGCAGTCACTCCCCGTTTCCACCTTCCCCCGTCTTCTGGCAATTAACCTGCTTCCCATCTCTATAGATTTGCCCGTTCTGGACATTTCATATAAATGGAATCATATAATCTGTGGCCACTTTTTTGATAACCGTTATACTGATATAATTCATATACCATACAAGTTACACATTTTAAATGCTTAATTTAGTGGTTTTTAGTGTATTCACAGAATTGCATGACCATTATCACCACAATCGACTTTAGAACATTTTCATCACTCCAAAAAGAAACTCTTTAGCTTTCATCCCCAGAGCCCTACTCCTCAGCCCTAGACAACCATTTCTGTCTCTAGAGATTTGCCTGTTCCATATTTCATATAAATGGATCATAAAATATGTCTTTTGTGTCTTGCTTCTTTCACATGGCATGTTTTCAGGATTCATCCGAAATTGCGGCATGTATCAGTGCTTCATTCCTTTTGATTGCCAGATAGTATTCCATTATATGGATATACCACATTTTGTTTATCTCTTCATCAGTTGATGGACATTTGGGTTCTTTTCTCCTTTGGGCTATCACAAATAATGCTGTTAATGAACATCCACATACAGGTTTCTGTAGAAGGTACGTTTTCAATTCTGTTGGGTAGAATTGCTGAGCCATATGGTAACTCAGTTTAACTTTTTGAGGAAATGCCAGACTGTTTTCCCACAGCAATTACACCATTTTACATTCTCACCAGCAATGTATGAGAGTTTCAATTTCTCTATATCCTTGCCAACACTCGTTTCCTTCTTTTTTTTTTAATAACTATTCTAGTGGGTACGAAGAGATATCTCATTGTGGTTTTGATTTGCATTTCCCTAATGACTATGATAAGCATCTTTTCGTGTGCTTGTTGGCCATATGTATGTCTTCTTTGGAGAAACATTTATTCAATCTGTGGCATTTTTATGCTATGCTGTAGAGCTGTTGAAAGGAATGAGGCAGATCTACATGTAATAATCCCCGATGTATTATTGCGTATAGATCAAGACTTAACACTGAGCAAAATAGAAGAGAATAGAAAGATACATTACAGTACCATGATTTTATATACATATACACAGGTGTGCCTTGTATGTACATAAACACACACATACCCAGTACTATATGTTTAAATATACATATGTGAGAAGATAGAGAAGGGTATGGTAGAATATTCCCCAAACTTATCAAGATGGTTGGCTACCCTGAGGCAGGGAGAGAGAGAACGAAGATGAGAGTAGGGGATGGGATCTCATCAAAAGGGACCTTTGTCTTTTTTATAATATTTTACAAAGTATTCATGAACTATTTGGTTAATAAAAATTTACATAAAAACTCAAAATGTATACACAATTTAGAGAGATAAAGAAAAAGAAGCACGTGGGGAACTCTAGCTGGAGAGGGGTTAGAATCAGTGCTTTCATGCCACTGGCGAGTGAATGTACAACTCCTATTCTGAAAATATGGTCATCGACTCTCTTTATAGCTCAGATTTATTTTGTCTTGGTCTCTTTTTCACAATAATTTTATTATGGTTTTAATACTATTCAAATAGTATGGAGGTTTATGAAGTTAAAATTACTCATCTCTTTTCCCCATGGCAGTTGACATTAGCGTAGCTCCTTTTCCTAATAAACTGCTGTGTTCTAGTATTGTCTCCTCACCCCACCCAATAAGATGTGTTTCTTCAACTTTCTGTTGTTGACAGGAAAAACTCCTTCTTCTGCAGGGGAAAGGGGCATTTTCTTCTTTAAGTGGCTGTGACCATGGTCTTCAGACTTGCTTTGTATCACCCCCCCAGCAGAGATTGCCATTTAGTAGGTCTGGAGTTCTGCTCTGGTGTCTTTATTTTATAAAAAGCTCCCATGGTGATTCTGATGATCCAACAGGGTTAAGAATCATTTTTCTGGTGAGTAACAGGCAATCATAAATTGTACCCACAATGCTTCTTTGAGAATTATTTTTGGTAGGTTCTTTATGAGGGAGTAATGAGCCTGTCAGCTTTATGGAAACATGCCTGAACTTAGATGGTCTGTTTTGTTCCAGGAATTTCAGAGATTTTTTACTTCAGATTATTTTCAGCTTTCTAAATACTCTACATAGAGCTGCCATCTGAGTTTCAGAAAGTGATCTTGGATCTTTTTTGAAAATGGTAGGAATAAGGAGCAAACTGTTTCACAGTGAAAATGGATAGGTGTAACAAAAATAATAGGATGTAACAAAAATCTTCCGGGTCAGGCAGACTGTCCTTGAGCCTTATTTTGTAAAGCTTTCTTTCCCCCAAGATTTTTGTAGACTTCATTATAGTTTGTTTGCCTGAGATGTAGGTGAGAAACTCACGTGACTCATTAAACTTCACACTAATTTCCATTCTTATGTTTTCAGATATAAAACTTGTGGAAATCCATAAAAGCCATTTAGAGACAATAGTAATATTCAGTTTCTCTAAAATAATAAACCTGAGTAATCTTTCTCATACCTTAAATTTATGTTAAACTGTACATTTTCTCTTCTAGGTATTCTCATGGGAGCAGTTATAAAAATTATAGAGTTTAAAAAACTGGCAAATTGGAAGGTAGGTTTGCCCAACTGTTCATTTTTTAACATAATTACAATTTTTATTAGTTGTTCTTAATTTTAGTAACACTTATGGTTATGGTGGCTTTCTTATCAGTGAAGTTTATATTATCCCATTAATTTTTTTAAACATTCTGTTAGATTAGAGTTGATATCTTTACATCTGACTTTTTTTAAAAAAAGTATAAATCTCACACTGTTTCAAGTTAACATGGGAGCACTCGATATTATGTTTTGTTATTTATACACATTTTTATAATCTTAGGGAAAGGCTCTAATTAGTATTAAACATTAAGCAATGTTTATTGCTCTCAATTCCATTCTGACAGTTGAGAATAAGAAAACACATTTGTCCAGCACTGTAGAGCTCACTGAATGCCTTGCAAACCATAGCTCACGTCGTCCTCATGACATCCATGGGAGGTGGATTGGGTATTCTTATCACCACATGTTTACAGATGAAAAAAGCGATGCTCAAAGAAGTCAGGACACATCCAACGTCACAGAACTAGAAAGTGGCTGAGTCGAGTCATGTGTCCAGACCCTTTGGCCCTGTGCATTCTATATTTTCTCCCCTGCATCGTGCTATCCTCAACTTGAGAATTTCCCTACCTTTGTGTTTACACAGTGGTCATGAGAGCATGAGCATCATCTTGTGGTATAGAGATTAATTGAAACTTGAATTTCAACTTAAACTTGAACATCCATATTGAGTAGAGGGATTAAAAGTGTGTTACAAAATTGATTTTGTGGATGGAAATAAGGTCCATTTCAAAATATTAAAGAATTGTATGGTGAAAATTTATAACATTTGAGCCCCTCCTACTTTGTTGCATCTCCTAGGTGCTGGGAATTACCTACCTATTAAACTGTAGAGTATCAAATTTGCAAAACAAGCTGTCTAGTCTGACCTAAAACAATTTGAAACTGTTATAAATAATATTCGGGAATTATTGTATGTATTAAATAAATTCTCAAATGTATATTCAACCCCTAATATTATAGAACCCCCCTCAGCGGGGGCTGGGCCGGCCCCCCTGGAGCACTTCAGGGATGGTACCTCTGCCTTCCTGCAACTTAGCAACTGTAACCATCCTCACTGTGGTGCACACTGGAACCTTTTCTCTACTCCTAGGCTGGTTGTAGCCTGATGTGTACACGTCGCACCTAATGCATTTTGTTTGATTTGAATCGAAATCAGTTGATCAAAATTGGAATTTATTTTAAAACAATTAAAAATTATTTGATTTTAAAATACTATGAATCTATATAAAATCCTGGAAATTTCACATAAAAATCTGAACTTCTAGCTTCTCTTTAAAAAGCAGAAGCTCTCTAAACACCAGGCCCACATTCTGCCCAGCAGAGATCCAGGCACTGAGCTGCTCTTCCCCTGGTAATCCCCTAGGCCCCAGGGAGCCTTTGGGTTGGTGACCCCTGTTCTGAGTAATAGGAGTAGTGGGGAGGTTATCTCTCACTTTTAGTTTTATAAGCTTCAGTCTTATCAAATTTATTTTTCAACGGATGTTTCTTTTCAAGTTAAAATAATAGTAATACATTTAATAGTACAGACAAATGAACTGAAGTTGGGTGACGAATATAATTAGGTGTCCGAAGAGCCATCCAGGCAACCAGGGCTTGGCCTCAGAAAAGGACAAGTTTTCTAGGCAGGGGCAGTTGGGGCAGGCTTCCTGGAGGAACAGGTGTTTGTGGAAAGCCCAAGTGAGAGGCAGGCCACCTGTTTGGAAACCGGGTACTGCAGGGAGCGATTGGAGATGAGAAAAACAATGCAGCTTGGTGTCTTCCGTCCATGAAGTCCTCTGTTCAGACTGTCTCACTGGGCCTGCCTTCTGCCTGTATTGCCGTATGCTTAGTATAGTCCTTTACATCAACTTGCTTTTATATTTATATACATTTTGTAAGTTTTTTTCTTTAAGAAAAGCTTTTATTGCGGTAAAGTATACATAACAAAGCTTACCATTTTAGCCGTTTTTAAGTGTACAAGTCAGTGGCATTAAATATATTCACGACATTGGATAATCATCAGCACTATTTCCAGAACTTTTTCATCATCCTAAGAAGAAACTCTACCCATTAAACAACGCCCTATTCTCCTCTCCCTACTTCCTATTCTTTTAGTATTTTCTATTTCTTTAGTAGCCCATTTCTACTGTCTGTCTTTATGAATTTGCCTATTCTAGGTCCCTCATATAAGTGAAATAATACAACATTCGGCTTTTTGTGTCTGGCTCATTTTACTTAGCATGTTGTGTTTTCGATTTGACCGTGTCATATCAGGCATCAGTATTTCCTTTCTTTTTCTGGCTGAATAACATTCCATTGTCGGCCTGTACTCCACTTTGTGTATTCATTCATATGTTGATGGACCCTTGGGTTGTTTCTACCTTTTGGCTCTTGTGAATAATGCTGCTATGAACATTGGTGTACTCTGTATACATTTATTTTAAAGGAAGCATCATAGTACTGTTTTCAATGGAAAACCAGTATTGTTTTTATAAATAAATATGATAAAAACAAAATAGTACCTCAGCCTCCTGAAGCCTCTGAGGTCAATCAAGCCTGTTCTCTCTGTCAGAATGAAAGATCAGCACACTGGAGAGAGGCTTTGCACGTGGCAGCACCGGGACTGAGTTGTCTTTAACTTAATTGGGATTGAAAAAGAATCAGAAAGGGTCAGTCTGCTCAAGTTCCTCCTACAGTCATCTCAGACTGTTTGGGGGGAGATGTCGCCAGAAGGAACCAGGGACCTTCTTGTAACATTATTCACTGTCAGGTGGTATATGCATTTCCTGTGGCTGCTGTAACATATTACCCCACACTGGGCGGCTTAAAACAACAGAGATTTCTTCTCATAGTTCCAGAGGGTAGAAGTCTGAAATCAAAGTGTTAGCAGAGCCACACTCCTTCTACGGAGGGAATCCAGGCTCTCGGGGAGAACCCTTCCTTGCCGGTCCCAGGCATTCCTTGGCTGTGGCCACGTGACTCGTATCTCTGCCTTAGTCTGTCTTCACATGACTTTCTTCTCTGTGTCTGTGTGTTCTTTTCTGTCCCTGGTAAGGACACTCCCATTGGGTTCGGGACCCACCCTAATCCAGTGCAAATCCCATCTGGATTCTTCTCTTAATTCCATCTACGAAGACCCATTTTCTAAATGAGGTCACATTTCGAGGTTCCAGGTGGATGTGAACTGGGGCTGGAGGACACTGTGCAACCCACTGAAGGCGGGTTCTCCTTTTTCCCAGGGGACATTTAGTTCCTGAAACTCCAAAAGAATCTATACGGTGGTTGGCCCACTGCACAGATCCTGAGAATTGATTGCCCCACAAAACACAGAGCTCGGCCCATTTCTTTTCACATGGTCCCAGTCTGAGTCATGAGTCTGTTGTACGGGCAGTTATTTTAAGACTTAATAAGGCATTTTCAGAGGTTGTCATTTGCTTCTATTTTGAGCCTTATTTGAATGTTATTTTAGTCTTTATGGTAACAGCTGTACATTCGTAAGAATACATTTAATCATTCTTTTGAATAGGGATTTTGACAAGAAATCAGACAGTGAGGATTGTGGGATGGACGTTTTCATATGAAAAAGAGCCTGATTTTACAGTATTTAATAGACTGTGTGTTACATGTAATCATTTTGGGCTTGAAAACTAATACATATTTTTCCCCAATCCAACAACAATCAGAGAGATATATTACTGTAGAAAATGAATGTGCTATTTCATCCACCCCAAAATGTCCACATTCTAGAAATGCCTTTCATAATTATACTTAATTTTCGAATCTGAAAGCATGCCAAGGGACTCGCTTTATAACTTTGTCTCAAGTCATGAGGGCATCAGGCGGGGCACTCATTTATCGTAGTCAAATTTAGGAAAATGGCAGAGTTGTCTGTGACAGGCAGAGAAAAAGCAGGGCTGTTTTAAACATGTGTAGGCTTTACTCTTGCTCTAAGTGGATCGTTTTAGGGCTTACTGTTACCTTTTTCCTGGAAGATTACAATTTGTAGAGATACTTTTGAAAGCATTCTATTAGAAATGAAATGTTTTTTTGTACTAAAATTAATTTTCTTAGTAAAGAATAAAAATCCTACCACTGTGTTTGGAAACAGTTCATTCTGCTACTTGTTTTGCAGGTCACCTTTTAAAATTTCCTGTCCTATATTTTTAAATGTACATTTTGGGGTTTTTTCTTTGTTTGTTTGTTTGTTTGTTTTGTGGGGAGTGGGTGTCTCTCTTCCTGCTTGGTTTTATTATCAGGTAGTTGTTTAAACATCATATGTTTGCACTGGGCCAGGCCCTGAGAGAATTACTTTGGCTCTTCATTGATGGATTTATTTCTTAATTACACACATTCCACATCTCTTAAAATACCCATTTTATTTACAGGAAGAAGAGATGTTTCGTCCAAATATGTTTTTCCTCCTGTTGCTTCCGCCTATCATATTTGAGTCAGGATATTCATTACACAAGGTAAGACTCAGGCAAACAGTAGTGTTTCTGGTCTGGATGGCATCCCATGTTGGTGAGGCAATTTCCTTAAAAGCCTGGGTGTTAATTTAGCAGTGGAGGCTCTGTGCGAACGTCCTGGGCATGCGTGGTGGAAGCCGGACTGGACGGCCTGACTTGTGGAGAGGAGCACACATGTGGTCGGTGGTTCCAGGCAGTGTGGCTTAATAAATTAGCGTTTTCCATAGAGGAGTACTTTGCTTAGGAAGATGGCCAAAGTGATTTTAAGTGGTACACGGACAACACATTGAATTTTCTTGTTGGACACAGACTGACACGTGTTAAGAGGATAGACTGTCCAGGGTGGACAGGGACATGTGCCCCAGGCCTTTTGATTCTCTCAGCTCAGCATGTAGGGCCTTTCTCCCTCCTTCGGCCCATTCACCCTTCAGTGTCTCCTCTCTCTGCACTGCCCTGGGCTTCAGCTCCCAGCTGATATTCCCCTAGTCCCCAGTCTCCAGCTCCTCCTTCCAGGCTGGAGCCCCATCCTTCCGCCCAGTCCTCCAGCTCCTTCTGGCCCATCCTCCTCATCCCACAGTTGTTCCTCCCATTCTTGGCTCCCCAGCTCCAGCCTGAAGAGAGCATCACGGGCCCCTGCTCAGGTCCCTGCTTTGCCTTGTCACATCTGATCTCTGTCCTCCAACTTCGAGTGGGGTGCTTTCTGCCTGGGTGGGAGCGTCTCACTTTTTAAGCCACTTTTCTGTGTGTGCATGGGGTTTTTTTCCCTTTGCCTATGTTTTCTTTAAATATAAATGTTTTTATTTCAAAACAGATTTAAATTAAATTAAAATGTTAGTAATACAAAAGTTATTTTGTGAATGTGATAAAAAAAAATTATGAAAGTTGGAAGGACTAAGGTTTGGCCTACCCTTGGAGAAAGACCCTGGAGCCAGATACCTACATCTAATCATGTGCTGCCCCCTACAGGTTCCTTTGGGGTAGAACAGAAATTAAAAACAAAAGCCAAAAAACCCCAAAAGCCTGCTTCTCAAGTTGCTTTGAGATTTACACTAGAGGAAAGAATGTATACAAAGCACTACCCATCACATCAAATAAACAGTAGTGCTTCTTGTTATTAATAGTAATATCTGTTAGCAGTAATATTAATATTACTAGTAGTATTATAGACAATAACATATTAAACTTGAGAGTTAAATTTGTCAAGAGAGTTTTGGTTAAAACATACAAATTAATGCTTTAATTTTTCACCTGGGTACTAAAGCAAAATATTCTAAGAGATTCGGTCCAGATTTTTTTAGAAGTTATTTTATTGTGTATCTATCCAGAAAAAATGTGAAAAAGAAGTTTAACGTAAGAAAAAAAAATTCCCAAGTCTTATTATAAACCATTACTGACATCAGGTAATAGTTAAAAAGAAAACAGGCAAAGGAATTTCAGGTCAATGTCTTTTTCACTCTTTCATTTCTTTCATTTTGTAAATCTTAAAGGAACTATGAACAGATTATGTATTTCAAAACAATGCTGAAGAAATTGATTTGATTTTGACTTAAAAGTACACTATGATTATTGTGTTAGAGCATGTAAAGTTTTCTAATTGGGGGGGAGAAATAAACTTGTTCAAAATTTGAGGAAAATATTAGTTTCTTAGAAAAACATTTCTTTGAAGATATCTTTCCAGCAGAAAACATGACAGTTTATGTGAAAGGTACTAATATGTTAGAAATGCAGATTCAGAGGCTCTGTCCATTTCCTACCCTCTCCCAAAGAAGATAAGTAGTCAACTTTGAATGTTTTGTTTTAGTATTGTTTTATTTGCTAATGTAAATTTAGATTTGGAATAAAAATTTCAGTAAGACTGTTCTCAGTTGATATGCATTAGGTAGGCAGGTATTGGCTCTTTAATTTATTAATATCATACAAAGACTAGAACATTCATTATGTCCGAGAGAAACAGATAAATTTGCTTTATGTAGCAAAGGGAAGTTCTTATAGTGTGCTAACTTGAATTTAGGTAAATTTTCAATATCCAGATTAATATTAACCAACTACATAAGTATTTTTTCCTTTAAGCAAAAATTCAGTTTATTTCAAACTCAACAAAATTATATTGTATTCATGTTTTGACAACACACTTGAAATATGTACGCTCTAAAGGATTCAAATTACAAACCTTTTAGTTATAGTCTGTTGGTTGTAATCAAGGCCGTGTGCTTGTACTCTCTACTACTGCCAGAAATTGAATCAGAAGGGACTGGGTTATCAAGAATGGCTACTGGTTTTGATCATGCTTATGTTACATACATGTGATAGAACAGGGCAGTTTTACTCATTCAAATTTATTTTTGAATAACAACTACATGTATGTTATCAGCATTAGCTCCTCTGAACAGACCAAGACTTCTTTTATCTATTTTTAAATAACAAAATAAAGCAGCTTTTTCAAAGAAAACCTCATAGATAAAAGCCTTTTGTTTAGAAAAAAAACAAATCATTGCGTTTGCCTTGAATTAGTTTAAAGTTCTTTGTGCACTAAAGATTGATATGCCAAACAGAGTAATTGAATGTCAGATTTGGGGCAACCAAACCAAAATTGCAACGAATGAAGCAAAGAAACTTTCTGAAGGAGGTAGGATTAGTAGGCTGCCAGGGTTGAGCTGGAGACATCTTTTTGAAGTGAGCTTTAAAATGTCAGTTCCTGTTGTCTATGGCTTGGCAGTTTCTGAGCAGAGATGGGGTTCTTCATCTAGCTCATAGCCAAGGACCACCAAGTTTTTCTAGTGTTGTTCCTAAGTGGAGCCCACGAGATTCTAATAAACAGCTAATTTTCTTAATTTTATGAAAATTTGAAAGATATTATGATGCTACTTGGACTCAGATATTTTCTCTTAAATGATACATAGATGGAAATATATATTTACCTGTCATATTCAGATTCGAGGATGATCCTAACAGAGTGAAACAAAATTGTTTAAAAGACCTGGATGACAAAAAGGAGTTTCTGGTGGAATAGCCTACTGTCTTGACATTCTTTGTAGTAATGTACCTTTTCTTATTGAAATGAAAAATCGTAGTTGTATAAACTTTGGACTTTGATCAGACATGAAACACAGTTAATTCTTTTGGTACCTATTCATCTTGTAGCTGATAGGCATTTGGTCGGTGACATTGCACAAAAACAGATGTGGTCCTTGCCCCTGTTGAGCCTGCAGCCTAGAGGGAAAGACAGAATCTGTCAAATAGTTACATAAAAAACAAAATTTCAGCCATGGCAAGTGCTACCAGGAGGTGGGTCATTGTGCATTGAGAGCGTAGAGCAGGATCTGACCTGGCTAAGGGATCAGAGAAGATTTCCCTCAGGAAGAGTCAAAATGTCCCGAGATCCTAGGATGATTACAAAGTTCACCAAGCGAAGAGGAAGGAAGAGTGGTCCAAGCCCAAGGAACAACGTGTTTGAAGAACAAAAGTCACCAGCGCGACTGGCACCCAGAAAACAAAGGGAGGGTTAAAGGGTCAAACTGTCCAGGCTTTGGTGGGGTTTTAGCTTCATTTCTAGCGGAAGTCGGGGTCAGAGTGAAGGTAGCACAGTCAGATGTGTCTTTTGCAAAAAATCATTCTGGAATCCTTTGAAGAATGGAGGGCAAGGGGCCAGGAATGGTTGAGACGTGTCAGAAGCTATTGTAGCGGTCCTGGGGAGAGATGATGGCAGCTTGGCAGGGGCGATAGAGATGGCAGTGGAGAGAAGTAGGAGATGTGAGTGACATGGGGAAAGTAAGAGCCTCAGGACTAGGCTCTGCAGTCGCTGTGGGCCTGAAGGAGGACTGCCAGGTTTCCAGCTTACCAAAAGGGGTGGGCGATGGTGCCCTTTGCAGAGAACCAAGCGTGTGAGGAGGGCCAGGTGTGGGGGTCCAGGCCTGCACCGACCTGACCAGCTTTTCTAATCATTTCCCTCCTTTCTGCTCATTCAAACAGGGTAACTTCTTTCAAAATATTGGTTCCATCACCTTGTTTGCTGTTTTCGGTACAGCAATTTCCGCTTTTGTAGTAGGTGGAGGAATTTATTTTCTGGGCCAGGTAAGAAAAACATCTTTGAAAAACTTTTAAAATCTTACATTCTTAGAGCTAGTGCAGGGAGGTGGGTTAGGAATACCTCACTAGGCCTGGGTTTCATGTTCAACGTAAAGTTCCGTCAGGAAATCTAGACTCATAAGAGGCACGGTAAAGTCATGCTAAAATTGTTTCTAGTGGCCTCAGCTTTGATGTCTGGAATTGAGTGAATCTTTTCCATAATCCCCAAAAGTATTTGCTCTTATTTGCAAACCAGTATTGTCTTAAGTTGGAATACCTAAAAATAAAGCAGAATTATACCATCGAGATCTTTAAATTATAGTAATATCAGTTGTGTTGTCAGAATCAGAGTTAAATGCTGTTTTTTAAATAAAATTTTGCATTTTAAAAATCAAAAATGAGTCTCAATGTGTTCACTCAATTCTAACTTGTCCACCACCTTAGATTTATATATTCTAGATTTTCTACCATTGCTAAACCAGTGTCCTCAATTGGGTGTTCTGTACTTTGGGTTCAAATTATTTGAATTCATTTAAAGCCAACCTACCTAGGAAGGTAGTGTCTGTGGTTTTGCATTATGCACAGCTATGCATGTCCTTTGTCATCAGAGGCAGAAAGTTTGAGGCTCTGGCATCTGGGTGACGGGCAGATTTCTCTTATGTGTGTCAGATGTGTTTGCTGCTTTTGACGGCTGTAGGCTAAAGCCCATTATTCCATCTGATTTTCACCTCTACTGCTGTCTCGATGGCACCAGAATAAATCTGTCTGTCATGCAGCCTTCTCCATTGCTCGGCTTCTAGTACCAAGTGGGAGTAAACTTTAGCAAAGAAAACTGTAGTTTGGCTCGAAAAATGTAGCATTCTTTTCCATACTTTTGTATGGTGATCGAATGCATGTTTAAACTAAAAATCTACGAGTTTCTTTTATTTTTCAAGTGGTTTGAAAACTGAAGATTAATGTCCTTATTTAGCTTGTGATAAAGCACTAACGGACATTTTAATCTTCTTGGCTGTTCTCCAGGGGTTTTTTTTGTGTCTGTGTGTTTGTGTGTTTTATTTTACAGGCTGATGTAATCTCTAAACTCAACATGACAGACAGGTAAATCTTTCATGCTGTAATACCCATGTGACTACTTTTGAGACCAGGGAAAATGTTCTCCACATTAATTCCTGGGTGTGGTATTTCTCTATTCTTTCTCTCTTTGTTTTGCTGATGATTTCTGCTGTAGAATCTATTCTGAGTTAATTCGTGTCTCTGAAATGAATGAAAACTAAATTGAGGAATTTCGGAGAGCATTGTTGATTGAAATGATTAATTTAGTTTAAGTTTTGGCAGGAATAACCCTGGAGGGTTAACTGCCACGCCCCCCACGACAGGCTGCCCATCGTTCTTTTATTATTAAGAATCATCTCCACCTGATTTCTAAGTCTTTTCAATGGGCGGCAATGAAAAGTTGTCATCTTGACGGATTAGGGATGGAGGGGGAAGTGAGGTGTGGATCTTTACTGTGCGAGTCACACCAAGGGGTGGGGGCAGGGGAAGAAGACAGGGCCGGGGCTCTATGGCTGATGTCCCCAGTCTGAAGCTATTCCCATGGACATAATCAGCTTAGCAAGAAGCAACCCAAGCAGCTGTCTCTCAGAAGGTGCCAGATCTAGTGCCCAAGAAGTACACAAACGGTGTGCTGCCTGGTCTCCCCTCTGAGAAATCCAGCGAGGATGCAGCCTTGCTCTGTGTTTTTATGCCCACAGTCAGCACTTGGTTCTGCCCTGTGGCCCACCAGGGGTCGGGGAATGGGTACTGGGAAGTGGGGCCATATGCTTAGCTCTGGGTCCCTCCCACCGGACCAGCCAGAGCTTTCAGCCTTTAGCAGCAACTTGGGACTAGATTCTTGGAGCCCTTTTCATGGGAAATGTGCCTCCAATAACATTAAGTCCAACTTCATTTTTCTCCCAGGGACATAAATTTCAGAGCTTTGACTGTAAGATAGTTTTGATATATAATCAAGTAGCAAAAGTCAAATTTCTCTTCCATAAGGAGCTGGAAATAAAACAGAACTGATGCCTTGCATTTCGTAGATATTTTTCAAGTGAAAAGAAATGCCCGATGCTCACTCGAAGTAAAGGAAGATGTCGTAGCATTCAGTTCTTCAACCCGTTTGGGGGCAATGGGTTAGAGATACAGAAAATGCCTGATAAATTTTTGTGAAATTGAGTTGAACCAATGTTTGGGATGTTTGGGGGAGAGGAATAAGAAAATCGTCCCTTAGACAAGCAGAATAAGAGCAGGTGAAGTTTCTTCTTCCATGTGCAGACCCTCCCTTTCTTGTTGGAAATAGTCCCACGGATGAGAAGTGCTCTGGGAGAAATTAGCCAGCAGTCACAAACCCACAGAGCTGCAGAGCCTGGCAGGGCACTTCACAGAGGGGAGCTGGCCAGGTGCATGTGTAGAGGTGGTGACAGAGAATCTGATGAATCAGAGAGCACACCCTGTCTGAAGGGGACAGCCACTTCGTAGCTCCACCTAGTGATTACCATTAACGGCCCAAAATTACTAGATAGATTTTTTTCAAAAGAAGCCAGGTTTCTAGATTTTAATAGGGAATTTTCCAGTTTTCAATGTTGACAATTTATTGAGTTTTTCCAAACACCGTGCAGGTCAAACATGAGACCCACAGACCTCTGCACTATAGAAAATGTTAAAAAATAACTTTGTCGCAAGAAGATTTTATTTCAGTGATATTTCTGCTGGAGAGAGATTTTATGCATAAATACACCCTGAATTATTTCACCATTCTGTATTGTTTCCTTCATGTTGCTATTCTTTGAGATGGTGAAATAAAACACATTTTTAAGTTAACTTCTAGTTTCTGGCCTTTTAAAATACTGGGTCTTGAAGGTGTGAAATAGGACATCTGGTGGCATGATTACATGACCCCTTAGATTCTGACCTCTGATGACTCAAGAAGTTCATATTTCAGACTTTTCATAGTCGCTATCAGAAATGCTCTGCCTGATTTAGATTCTCAACCAAAGCAAATGTGTTACATGATTTATGCAGAGCATTTGCCTCCAACTTTTTATTATGAAAATTCCAAACACAGAGAAGGTGAAGAAGCGTTGTCCAGCGGCGGCCGTGTGACCACCACCTGGAGTCCACAATTACTGTTTCACCTGATTCGCTTTAACACAGACCCCTCCCTCTGTCCATCCTTCTGACCAGTCATTCTAACTGATAATTCATCAGTCCATCTTCTGGTTCCTGCTCTCTGATTCCGGTTCAGGATGCCACAGGCTCTATGACGAACTAGGGAAGAGCTGGGCACACTCGCCCCATGTGGCCGCGCTCATGGCTCTGGGCTCACATCACCCTTACGTCAGCCATCCCTGCCACAAGGGCCAACCTAATTCCCCATGACCTGCTAAAATGCTTGGTGACGGCCATCGACGACCAGGCTTGGGCTTCCTGTCCACTCCTAGAGCCCCGTGCCACTACATGGATGGAGAGTAGGTGAGGTGGCTCCCCAAAGGAAAGTTGGGGCACTGTTACCAAAGCCAGGGTGTATGGACGTTGAGCAGAGAGAACCGGGCTGTCCACTGCTCCACTGCACTGGGGGATAGGGGCAGGGCAATTGAGCGGAGCGAACAGCTCACCAGGAACCCCCAGGCCTGTCCCCCCAATGCACGCACCCTGCCTCTTCTTCGCCCTTTTAGGCAGTCTTTTTTCAAAGCCCTTGTGATGTTTCTGTGGGTGACAAGAGTGGCAGTAAGAGGAGGAGGCACAAGAAGCTCTGTGTCTGGGCTGCGGCACACAAGCCCCAGACGAAACGGCCTCCCGGGCTGGCAGTCATCTGTCTGATGGCACTCCCTTTCCTTCTGTCCCTCCCTCCATCCTGCCTGCTGCCCTCCATCCTGCCTGCTGCCCACAAATCTCTAGGCTGAGGTCAGCACAGGTCCTGGGAATATACTCGGGACTGAAACACAGCGCCCACCCTGCTGGCACTCACAGTGAGGGCAAGAGGCAGGTACAGTCACAGCTCGTAATGCACGTGACAACCTCTGTGAGGACAGGGAAGGCCTGGGACCCGGAGTGTGAGCTGAGACCTTTTGGGTGTGGTCCTCGGCTTGGGATCTGGAGACTCTCCTTGAGGTGAGCAGGCTCTCTTGCACGAATTCACAGTAGTCAAACTCGCAGGGAGTTACCATGGAAACCAGAATGCCAGATTATTCATTTCCCGAAGAGAACTGTGACTGGTAAGGCAGCCAAGCACCTCCTCCTGCCAGCACGCTTCTCCCTGAGCCCAGAGTCCAGTGACCATTGAGGGCTGCTGGCGATGGCAGAGGGGACAGAGCACACTCCGTCCTCAGGCCGAGTAGCTCCCTCTTCCCTCCCAGGCTGCGAGCTGGTGAGAGGGAAACAGCGGCAAATAGTCCCTGGCTGTGTCTCTCACGCCCGGCTGTCTGTTGGGGCTCGGTGTTTTGTGTTGTAGAAGAGGCAGACCTAACCCTTCTGCCATGCAGAAAGAAGGCAGTGCCAGGCGTAGCAGTTTGAGGGGACAGAAGGCTCACGCGCACGTGCACTCGCGCGCGCGCTCTCTCTCTCTCTCTCTCTCTCAAGACTTACTTAGGTCCAGGCTTTGTTAGAGATGATCATCTTGGCATTTTCTTAGATGTTACAAATCTAAATGGAGGCTGTGGTCAGTCACAGATGGTAGCAGGGGCAAAGCAGAGGCCAGACCCAGGAGCCGCTGGATCATTTGGGGGAGGCTGCTGAGCCATCACGGTTCCAGCTGCTCTGACCAAGAAGGCTGGGAAGACTCATGCATTTAAGATCTCCCGTCATCACTGGTCTTGATACTTATAGTGGAAAAGCAGCCATTCCTAACGGGTCCTGTTAAGTGGGCCCTTCACTGCTCCACCCAGAGTGTCACTTTGCAGACATTATAAGTGGAGAACAATGTACTGTCCTGTGTAGTTGCTTTGGCTGCGGTATGTACTATGATATTATATCAACTGCAGTCCTCGGCTTGAATGTTTTCATATGTGGACCAAGTGGTAAGCATTACAGAATTTCCCCTTCTTGTTCCCTTCTTTCCAGTTTTGCTTTTGGCTCCCTGATTTCTGCTGTTGATCCAGTGGCGACTATTGCTATTTTCAATGCACTTCACGTGGACCCAGTGCTCAACATGCTGGTTTTTGGAGAGAGTATTCTCAACGATGCCGTCTCCATTGTCCTGACCAAGTAAGTGTGCTGTCTTCAAGTGACGGAACTAGAGATCCTTATAACAAGGGGACAGATATGTCTGTGCAGCTAAGTGTACAGTTGCTTGTCCTCTGGGTGATTGGTTCACCCACTTCTCCATCTTTCTGTCCTGACCAGCCTTGCTGTGCCCCAGGAATACAGTCAAGGTATGGGGTGGAGAGGAGAGGAGAGTCCGCCTTTTATGACAGCGGTTTTGAGCCCAGCTTCTTACCAGCATCACTTGGGGTGCTGATTAAACATAGCATTCCCAGGCCCCACCCTCACAGCTCTGGGATGAGTCCCAGGAACTTGGGTTTTTAATACGTTCCCCAGACAATGATGGAGCAGCCCTTCGAGGGATCAGTGTTTTGGGCTGCATCACTGCAGACAAAAGCGATAGACGGAGGCCCTACTCTTTCACTTAGGAGCGGTCGCATGTCACCTTCCTTTTCACAGCTGTGAAGTAAGGTCATGACACTAACGGGCGTCCCGCCTTAAGATGCTATTGGGTGAAAGCGTCTTTGGAAACTGCAAATCTTCCTTAGATGTTCATTGGTATCACTGCCCTTGTCGACAGGATCTGAGAAATTAAAAATGAATCATAAAGAGTCAAGAAGTCATTGGGAAAAGGAAACGAATCTAAGATAGTCTCGAATGTGTTTATCTGATGTAAGGCTGTTTCTTTGCACTCTGCACTTTGCGGTGTTCGTTAGCATGTGTGGGCAGGAGACTCAGACAGCTTTGCCAAAAAACAGACGGCACCAACAGTCAGAGCCGTCGGACAGAAGAGCCCGGGACAGCGTATCAGAGACGAGCCAAGAGAATCTTAGGGGTCAGTCAGTGTTCTGTTAGAGAACAGAATTTCTATAATCTGAACACTGATTTGTTTCCTTTGTCGAAAGGTTCCTTGCTAGCATGATACTCTGTGGCAGTTAGCATTTTCTTAAAAGCTTTATTATAGACAACATTTGGGATTCTCACCTTGAAATAAAATGATATTTTATAGTGGACAGAGCCCAGGTTTTAGAGTCAGGCTGACCCGGGTTCAAGTCCTGGCGATGCCACTCATAGCTCTGTGACCCTGGGTCGGTTCTTTTACCTCTCTGAGCCACAGGCATCTCAGCAGTTAAGTGAGGATGATAATGCCTTAGCCTAGGGTCGGACTTGAGGATTGAATAGTTAAGTCTGGTACTACATGAAAAGCATCTGACATCAATTAATGTGAGACTCTTTCCTCTTCTTCTCCTGCCCCGTTATGTTTCACTGTTTGCCCCTTTTTTATCCTACTTTTGTAGGAAGAATTTCCCAAATGCTGCTTAATTGCCAGAAGTGCTCAGCAGACCTAAAGGAAACAAACCTTAAAATATTTTTGTTATTCTAAAAGTAATACATATACTCTTCACATGTAATTTAGAAAACACACGCAAAAAAGAAAGAAAAATTATATGCATTGTTACTACCCAGAGATAATTACAGTTAACAATTAGATAAAAGTATACATGTATTTTATTTAGATAGGCTTATATCCCATATACTGTACTGTAGCTTTTCCATTGAACAGAGTCGATAAAAGAATCTTCCGTAACATCATTTTACTGGTTACCGAGTATTCCTTTCTATGCATTTACTACGACCTGTTTAACCAATTCCCTCTTATTGGCTTTTTCACATTTTTCTTGGCAAAAATTTCTCTAGCTTTATTAGGAAATTATCATACATACTACTATAAGACCTTTAAAAAATCTGATGGCAACATTTTTTTCTTATTTAAGATCTACTCTGAAAGATTCTAAGCTTTCTGGTTTTGACTTTTCTCTCATATCCTGGAGGCATGTATCAAACATTTGTGATAAAGAATTTTGCCCAAATTGGAGGTGACATCATGAGTTATTTTCATACATTAGGAGCTAAATTCAACTGCTATGTCCCTAATTTATTTTGTTTTTAAAATCTGTCAGAAGTAGGACCTTTTCTGAGCTTTTCCAGGTCTTTTTGCCACAGAGAGGCCAACGAATAAGAGATATTTTCTTTTTAAAACGAGAAATGATGGAGTCATTGTAAGTAACCAAAGTTTCTTCTTGGAAAAGTGCTTTTGAAGGCCACGATCACCTCTAATGACCGTTCTCAAAACTGGATCTACGGACCACATGTGTATGTAGTTTTCGGCCTCTACCTCCACCACTCCTGGGACACAGACTCGGGTAGAGCCACTGGCCTGAGCCACGTCCAGCCTTACAGACTCTCCAGATATGCTGCAGACTAGTCATCCACCATCAGCGTTTGGTGCAGGCCCTCTTCATGCCAGACACTGCTCAGAGACTATTGGATTTGACAAACGCAATCCATGGTGGGAGAAATATGCTCACAGAGAAGTGAACACTGTGGTACTAGGGGAAAAGTACTTTAAATTCATGGATTTGAGTTCAGCTTCTCAGATGAGCTGTCTTGGGAGCTGGTAGGCACTTGCAGATGTAAGAGGGATTAGGGAAGAAAGGGGCTCGGTAGACCTGCCTTGTTTTTTGCACTATAGAAGGGGGCTGTTTTCAGCTTTCCTTGGTTACAGGGTAGAATCACGTGGTTTTTTTTAAGGGTATACTTCATAAATGATCGTTTTCAAAGCAATCTGGCACATTTACCTTTGCAACTGAATATAGGAATGATTACCCCTTTTTCATGTTTTCATTTTCATAAGTGCCAGAAAGCTAAGTATCTTCTGTTTCCTCATTAACTTTAAGTTATTTTTAGCTTTGACTTGTTACTATGACAATTCTTAAAATAATTACTGTAAAAGAAAACTTCTGTTCTCTCCAGCTATAGCTTAAGCTCAGAGTCCAGATTCTACTTTCATTTATTTTGAGTTCAGAAACCACTGGCCTCAGCCTTCTCTGCATTTAAAAAAAGCAGTGACACCAGCCGGTGTACCAGCCGAGGCAGCGATATGGGGTAGCGGCTGGACACCATGCCTTGGTCTACAGATCCCTCTGAAAACTGTAGGTGATCTTAGCTTTCAAAAGCACTTGCCCAATAAGCACAGCGCTGGATCCCCAAGGTGGGGTGTTAACCTGCAGTTTTCTAGGAAAGGAGGAGAAAGGGAGAGAATGTGCTTTCCGGTGAGTCTGGAAAACATTTGTGTGCAAAAAGTTAGATTTCTTTTTTTGCCGGACTTCCGAGAACCTTTATTATGTCACATTGTGCTTCGAATTGCCATGAAAGGCTTCCTGAAGTTATCTGACCAAGTTACCCTTTTATCAGAGATTTTCTTGCTTTAAAGTCATACTGATTCATGAACTTAGTCAACGCTGATTAATGAAGCTGAATATTGTTATTGACATGTCTTCGTTTTGTTTACCGACTTAGCAAAAGTTTATTGAGTGTCTTGTGTGCTAGGCTCTGCCTTAGGTCCTAGACATATGGCAGTGAACGGGCAGGCTTGGTCCTCATGAAATGATTCATTAGTTTTCACATGCTGTGGAGAAGTCAATTACCAGGGGAGCCAGTAAATGGGCTGGCCTGTGTGAAGGGGTCAAGGGCAGGTGTCCCTGAGGAAGTGACACTGACGTTGGGCTCTGAGAAACAGACTGGGAAGTTAGCTGGGGCCAGGGAGCAGTGAGAGATGACTTACGAGGAGGAGCCAGTGACAATGGGCCCCACCCTGAATGGGAAGGTGGGATCAAGAGGTATCAGGGGAGAGAAGTCAGGTCATGCTGAGAAGACCAGGCATTCTCCTGAAAAGCAGCAGGAAACTGTGGATGGGTTTCGGTAGGCCAATAACCTGACCAGATGTGCATTTTAACAGGATTATTCAGGCCACTGAAATAATTATTCAGGCCACTGAGAAATGGCTTGGTCCCTAGGAAGACAAGGATGTATATAGAGACAGCAGTTGAGGCCTAAGCTCTGGGACAGAGGATGGTAGGGGAGGGAGGGTGAGAAGTAGGTGGTTTGAGAGATGGTCCGAAGGTAGAATCTGCAGAAAAAATAGGAAAATAACTCCATTTTAATGGTATAATGGTCTTTCCTTCAGGGGTAAAACCAACAACTGAATTTAATGGCTTCTGGTGTTTTCCTTTGTTCTGTTGCAGTGAGAAGAAAGTTCTTTCATTTCTTCCTCCCAGTGCTCCTGATTTCACCCTCTCAGCTGCTACCTAATGGTTTCTTCTTTAGGTGGCTCCATTTTAATCTGACTTCATGCCATAGCCTCAATTTCAGGTTTTATCACAAGATCCGCCCGTATTAGAAACACACCCCGTAACTCCCCCGGGCCTTCGGGATGAAGTACCAGCTCCTTAGCGTGGTTCATCGGAAGCCTTTCACAGGTCCTCTGCTGCTGCCTGCTGCTGTCACCTTACTTCTCTCCACTGTCCTCCCCACCGGCCCCTCCCCCACATTCTGTTCCTGTGCTTTATCCGTACTAACCTGTGGAATTGAACGCCCCCACACTGGGCTCCCTGCCTCTGCACACGCTGTGCCCTCTGCCTAGGGCGCCACCCCTCATTTCTTCACGTGGTTAATTCTTCTTTATCCTGAATCTAAACCCAGCTCACACATCATGGAGGACCTCCTTGCCGCCCACGGATCTGGGTTCGGTGCCCGCCCTGTGTTCTACAGCCCTTTGCCCTGACCCCACGTGGTCGCCAGTTCCCATCTCAGACTGGGGGAGCTCCTCGAGGGCAGAGACTTTGCTCTCATCTCTGAAACTAACACAGTGCCTTAAACAAAGTAGGTGAACAAGTACATGTTTGACTCACTGAATGATGAAATGGAGGAACGAGAGAATAAGCAAGAAGTAAGTTTTGAGTTCTGAGTTAATTTTTAGTAAGTTCGTCTATAACATTTTAACTTCTTTTTGTTTTTCTTCCATTTCCTAGCACAGCTGAAGGTTTAACAAGAAAAAATATGTCAGATGTCAGTGGGTGGCAAACATTTTTACAAGCCCTTGGCTACTTCCTCAAAATGTTCTTTGGCTCAGCCGCGCTCGGCACGCTCACTGGCTTAATCTCGGCATTAATATCCTTTTCACGTGACAAACACGCAGGGCTGAGATTATTCTTAATTACATCCATCTCTAGCCATTTTCTCCAGTTCCTTAAGGGGGCCAATTTTAGTCTGACGTGTTTGCTGGAAGATTTTTATGCTTAATTTTGGTTTGAGGAGCACTTTAAACTCAAGGATTTTTAAATTTAACAAGTAAAATTTAGGATGTCACTTTTCAAAGCTGAAAAAACACATACATTGTTGGATATCAGATCTGATTTCGGCGGCTTCTTAGTTCCCAGAGTACATTCAGATGATTTTCATTTTCCTCTGTCTCACTTTTCACATTCAAAAATTTGGAAGCTATTTTCCTTTGAAAATGTAAAATTGAGAAAATCTGAAAGCATTTATCTGGAAGGACCAGAAAAGAGATTTTCAAAGTGAGCTCCATCTAAGTTATTTGCACTGATTTTCCTGCTTAACAACCCATGAGCTAGCTTTTCCAGCCAGAGACGAAAAGCAGCTTGTTAAGGCCAATGACACCTTCACTGCTGTCAAAAATTCATCATGTCCACAACGGGAAGAGGCACCAGACCGTTTCTGTGCCAGCCTGAGCCTGCGTCTTGGGGAGATGGCCACCTGGCCCTCCTCCATGAGCAGTTTGTTTCACAGATGGCCGGAAAAGCCTCTTTTGCCTGTGACAGGCATGTTTGCCTGCCATCCTCTTGAATTTTCCCTTCAACGCCTTTGTCCAGAAGTCTAAAGGCTCTAGTGAGTTGGTTGGCAGCTTCTCATATTGTACCAATAAACAGAATGGAAAAGAAAACTTTTTCCAGCTCAGTATTTCCCTCTATATTTATCTTTTTCTTCAAAGGGGTAGGGGGAGCGTCTGTCATAATGAAGCCAAGTGAATGGGTGCTGTGAGCTCCAGCACAGACCTGTGAACGATACTTGAACATATAGAAGATTCTCCTTTTATAGGAGCATGACTTTAGAAATCGCGAGGAATAGAGAAAAAGGCCCTTCAATAGGGCGTTGAACCCCAGAGTTCTGGAAACCCCATTAGTTAATCTCATCTGATGTCAGGAGGAGGTGAAGGAGTGACGAGACCCTGGGAGGGACCTGGCAGTTTGGGGTGTCCTCAGTCTGCAGCCCAGCTACGCCCCGCAGCCCTGGCACACTGCCAGCCTCCAGGTCAGCATTTGTAAATAGGCTGACTTAAGTTGATTTTAATTTGCCCTTGCTATTTGTCTCAGGAATTTACATTTCTTAATTTTGTCCGATTCTCTTTCTGAAAACAACAATCTCCCCGCAAAGAAAAAAAAATCCGCAATGACAGATTTTCCCTTGTTACCTTGGGATGTTCCAAAGTCTTTTGTATCCATTGTTCGCATTATGTATTTGGGAGGCCACAGTTTTGTGACTTCTCTAGATCTCCCTTCAACTGTCCCTTGCTTCTTTTTCCTTGACTACTGTCATTTACGTGCTAAAGCATATCGACTTGAGGAAAACGCCTTCCTTGGAGTTCGGCATGATGATCATTTTTGCTTATCTTCCTTATGGGCTCGCAGAAGGAATCTCACTCTCTGGTAAGCGAACAAGAGTGGAAATGCTGGGGTGATGGTGCGTTGTCCCGCCTCCTGAGAGGTTATGTCACTGGGTCACTTTCAGTCACAGGAGACGGTCACAACTCAGAAGAGCTCAAGCAGTAAAGGGAGTCTGCTGGCTGTCTAGGGATGCATCTGGATTTATTTCTCTTTACTGACCGTCCTGTAGCTCTTCCTCTGTTGCTTCTTTCCCAGAACAAGGCCTCTGAAGGGCCTGCTGTCAAAGGGCGGTTAGTCCTCTGCCTGGGCCCTGGGCCCCGGCACCCACGGAGTTGCGTTTTATCATATACGTGATAGAATGTCATAGACTTGAAATCATGCAGCATGTAGTCTTCTGTGTCTCATTGCTGTTAGTTATCAACGTTCTTGAGAGACATCTGTGTTTTTGCATGGATCAGTCATTTACACATGCTTACTGTGCCACATTTTATCCATTCGCTATTTGAAGAACATTCGGGTTTTTTCAGATTTCAGCTATGAATATTTGTGCATAGTTTCATTTATCTTGGATAAATGCCTAGGAGCGAGGTTGCTGGGTCATATGGTAAGTATATATTTTACTTTATTAGACACTGCCAAGTGGTCTTCAAAGTGACCGGACCATTTTGCATCCCCACCAGAATGTACGAGCAAATTCCAGCTGCTTCACAGGCTCACTAACACTTCTTAGTTTTAAAAAGTGTAGCCATTCTGATAGGTGTGTGGCAATTTGATCTTCATGTGCCTTGGTGTGGTCCTCTCTATATGCTGCTTGGGGTTTGTTGAGCTTCTTGGGTTTAAAGCTTATGTGAGTTTATATCTTTCATCAAATTTGGTAAATTTTTACCCATCTCTTTAAATGTTTTTTTCTGTTCTCCCCTCTCCTCTCCTTTTGGGATTCTAATGACTTAAATTATGATAGACAGTATGCTGTCATCCCATAATACCTCTTGCCTTTTTTTCTAGTTGTTTTTTCTCTCTATGCTTTATTTTGGCTAGTTTCTATTGCTGTGTCTTCACATTCACTGATATTGTCATCTGTCATGATCAATGTCCCGAATCCCATCCAGTGTGTGTTTCATTTTAGGTGATGTATTATCCATCTATAGACGTTCCCTTTGGGTTATTTTTATATCTCCCGTCCCTCCTCCCGTGTCCACGATTGTCTCTGCCTCCTGAAGCATATGGAGCACATTTGTAACTGCTGTTTTAATGCCCTTGTTTCCTAATTTCATCATCTCTGTCAATTCTAGGTCTGTTTCTGTCCATTAATTTTCTATTCATGAGTCATAAATCCCTGCTATTTGCTTGCCTATTACTTTCTGATTGGATGCCAGTCACTGTGAACTGGATTGTGTTGTAGAGTACTGGATTTTATGGTATTCTTCGTAGAGTTCTGGATTTTCTTCTGCCTGTATCTGAGTTTCCTGGAGTCAGTCTAATCCTTCTGAGGTTTACTTTTCAACTTTGTCAGGGCAGGACTAGAGTAGCACTAAGAACTCATGCGCTTCCTTCCCTCTGAGGACTTCGCCTCCCGTCCCGTGCATTATGAGGTCACGCCGTTCTGGCTGCAGGTATGCAGACTGTTCCCGGCCTTGTGTTCGCTTCAGGAATTGCTCAACCTCGTCCTTTCCAGCGGCTCTTTCCCCAGCCTCCTGGATTCTCACCCCATGTGTGTACAGATTGGTATCGGTCCAGGATTCAGGGGGACTTGACAGTAGCTCTCCGGAGCTCGCTTCCCGTGCAGCTCCTCCTCTCTGGTGTCCTAGCTGCTTTGGCTTCCCCTGGCTCTCATCTGTCCCCTCTTCTCAGCAAGACTTGATTTAGGGTTCCCTTTCTGGAGACTCAGCTGGGAACTGCATCCAAGCAGTAAGCTGGAGTGGGGCCCGGAGCAGGAGTGGTCACTTTGCTTGTTCCCCTTCTATCAAGAGTCACCATCCTCCCCTGCCTCGATCCCAGTACCAAAGGACAGTTTTGGTTCATATCTTTTATCAGGTTTTCTAGTTGTTTATGACAGGAAGGCAGTTTGCGTAGCAGTTATTTCTTCATGGGCAAAGTGGAAGTCCCTGGTGGTTTTTAATGACTCCGTTGAACAGGATTTTTCCCATAGATCACTTTCTAGAATCTCGCATGGGTACTCTGTGAGTGGATCTTGCCAAGGAGGAAGCAGAGACGACTCTGGCCGTTTTCACTGGAAGACTCTTGGTGAACATCAGGGGTTTTTTTTGCTTTTAATCCCAAGCCAGTTCTTTTGGATAATATCATCCCAATCTTTGCCATCAAGTTTCCTCTTATCTTTCCAGAATTTTGGCACTTACATAAACATTACCTGTGAGTCATTTGGCTCTAGCCTAGCTATTTTTACTTCTGTTTTTCTAAATTGTTCCCCACCCCTTTGAGCTGAACACTGAGTACCTGGTGGCAGAGCTATATTTTATACATCCATTTGGAATTTGCGATGAAAACAAGGGAGTATTTTGCTTGTCTCTTCTTCAGAGAGGCAGTGTTTTTTATTTGTAAGGGTTTCGTTTCCTTAGAGACCTCTGCTGTTCGTGCAGTAAGGCCAAAGACAGCACATGCCAGCCAAAAACACACGATCCACCTCTGGGTGATGGGCTCGGCCCTGCCCACTCTTTGCCTTTGGGATAGCTGTCACGCGGGGCTTTTAGAGAAGTGTGGGACAGCCGTGATGTGTCATGAAGACCCTCCCAATCCCGCTGTCAGAGTATAAACCGGAAAGATGATGTTTTGCTCTCTCCTCCTTCCCTTTTGTGCTCCACTTTTCCTGATTGTCTCAAAAGACTGACAGTGAGTGGTTTCCATAACCACCAGCCGGACGTTCTCTCTGTAGCAATCACTGACCTAAATCACACGTTTAAAACACAGTGGTTAAGGACGCCGGATAGACCTGGGTTTGAATCCCAGCTCCACCTCTCATTAGCTGTGAAACCTCAGACAGCAGACTTAACCACTCTGAGTGTCAGTTCCTCATATAATGAAAGTGCCACCCTTTTATTATGTGAGGATTAAAGGGAACAATGCAAGTAAGAGTCCTGACGGAGGCATCGATGTGTATTACTTGGTCTGGTTCCCCTTTTTGCCCCAACATGATAAATTAATAAAACCCCTTTCACTCACAAAGAATCCTGGTTTCAACAGCAGGTTAAATAATCTCCCTAATTATTACTCAGAAGTATTAGCTGTTCTCAGAATCTTTGTTCTAATTCATTTGATGTTAACTATTTCTATTGTTCATTCAAGTTGGTTTTGAGGGCTCCTTTGCTCTCTGGCTCTAGAGTCAAAGGTAGATAGACCAGCCCCTCCCCCCGCCCACTCCCATCCCCACCGCCCCTGCCAGTTGAGCCAACTCCGGGCTGGCTGAGGGAGGGGGATTGGCACAGAGCAACTCTATCAAGGTGGGTCACAGAGGATGGAATTTTCTAGGGTTGAAGGATGAGTCTGCAAGATTGATGAGGACATAACACTTTCTGTAAAGTGTTGGGGACATGTCAGCCAAAGATAGAATGCATCATATGTGCAGCACTCAAATGCACAGGTGTATATCTAAGGAATTCCTTTGCAGCACTTCCTGGGAGAGAAAAACTAGATGTTCATCAGTAATGGGAAAGATTAAGCTAGTTTGGGTCTGTTCTCACTATGGGATACTTTGCAGCCGCTTAAAAAATGAATTTGACCTATTTGTACTACCATGGGAAGAACTCCAAGATGTTTTGTTAAATTTTAAGTAAGAAAGTTGGAAAACCACTCATTTATCCAGTCAGTAAATATTTATAAATGCCCACCCACCCTGTGCCAAGAACTGTCCTTGGTGTTGGAGCTGTTCCTGCAGAAGACAATAAGCAAGTAGGGAAACGTTCCATAATCTCAGGTAGTGAGAAGCGAAATGAAGTGTAATAAAGCGAAGTGATAGAGAGTGGCATAGGGGTGGCAGCGTCAGGAGATGGGGGGTCAGAAGGTCTCCCCAATGAGGCGGCACCAGAGCTCAGACTGTGTGGTGAGTAGGAGCCAGCTGGGGGAGGGTCTGAGGAAGGGGGGATAGGCAGTGGGAACAGCAGGCGCTCAGGGTCCCAGATAGGCATGAGGGAGCCTGGCACACCCCAGGAGAGCAGGAAGTCCGTGTGGCTGGGTCAGAGGGGCAAGGACCCATCCCGCAGGGTTCCGTGGGCCTGGGAAGGAGCTGGGATTCTGTTATGTGTGCCAAGGCAAGTGTGGGAGGCCTCTTAAAAACTCGCTGTGCTGGTAACACATGCCATATACCTAATACGATCCTGTTTAAAGATAGATAAACTTTATAATGGCATAGTGAAAGAACTGGCAATTTGCATATTGCACTATTAATAATAGTTACCCCTGGGTAGGCGGCGGGAAAGGGGACTCTTGTTTAATTCTGTACCTGTGTGAGTCTGGATGCTTTATAGCAAAACATGTTTATCCTCAGGTAATTAACAGAGAAAAGTGACTCAGCCTTCAAGAAGTACATTATATTTTACCCACAGTAAGATACAATACAGTGGGAATTGTACCATGACACCCTTTACATGTCTGCCTTTTGGGCTTGAATCCCTTTACTCTGTTCCTTTATTACATTTAAAACCATTTAACTGAGACTAGAAATGGATTTTCTCCTTCCCTCTCTTCTTCCTTTCTTCCTTCCAAGAGGCTGACCATTTTATCTGCTTCCTTAAGTGATTTTTTTCTCCTAAAAGAAGTAAATGTGGCAAGAATTCTTCCTTGCAGGGCCTTTTTGTCTCTGGAAGTGAGGCCATTTGTACCATTTACCCCGTTAGTGTTTTCACAGCCTGCGCAGGTGGCAGCTGATGGACGAGAGTGGTCTGGGTGGAGAAGTCACCGCTGCCTAGGGAGGGCACGTAGGGTGACACTTGAGCTGTCCCTTGGGCTTTTGCACCCACTGCTGACCTTGATTCTCTCCTTTAGCCCCCAGAACTCTAGAGATCCCCGGACCCCAGACTAGCGAGGGATAAAGATGGTTGGTGATTGGCTCTTCACTCTTGCATTGACCAGAGGCCCATCTTCATCTGATCTAAATTCAGTCCCCTGATGGGGCTTATTTATCTATACAAAAACTTTTAAACATTTGAATCAGTTTCCGTCATTAAAAGTTAGGAAATTTCCCATAAGAAGCAGATATCTGGCATCTCTCAGAACACCAGAACGAAGACTGGTCAGCCCGAGGCCCCAGGCACAGGGCTGATGGCAGCCCTTCGTAGATGGGCTTGTGCCTTCTTCACCGACATGCTGCCCACTGACTTAACGTTTTTATTGTTGTTTTCTGGCCCCTGAGGGGTTTGAGTTTCCTACCCCTGGCCAAATGTACTTGACTAAACTGGCCTCCCAAAGTCCGCCTGCACTGAGCCTGCCTCCTTGGTGAAGAGCCTGGGGGCAGGGCAGCTCCCTGGGGGCCTGGCAGTGGGCTCTGCTTTTTCACTGAGGGAACTTCCATATTCCCCTGTCATCTGACTTCCCAGAGCCTCTGGCTTTCTGGAGCGGTTATTTAGTGTCAGGACTCTTACTGGGCTGTGATGGCCTGTCTCTGTGGACAGACCAATGACATGGGTGGAAAACCATTCGCGTCACAACTTAAATGTGCCTCGAGCTCTTCTGGGGTGCCTCTTACTTCAAGGTAAGAGCTCCAAAGCCAGCTTTGCCAGAGAATCGATAACCCTTCTCAAAGCAGGCTGCTGAAACAAAGCCCTTTGAAAGCCCAGAAGCCAGCAACGTTTAGCATTGGCCTGCAGTGCTAAGGATCAAGTCCATGGAAACGGAAGTGTGTCGTCCGTCCATGCCCTCCTCTCCTTCCCAGTCTCGATTGACTGCCAGACCCAGGCTCTGGTCTGTCCCCTGCTGTTTCGCATTACTTTGTCTTCTAATGGCGGGGTCAGGAGGGGTCAGCTCTCCAGGTGGCCGGCCACCTGCAGAACTACTGAGAGAACCACCAGAAGTTTTGTTGTCATGGAGTTTTGTCCAGCAGAGCAGTGGCTCAGAGCCGATCTTGAGTTTCAGCCTTCTTGGTAGTCTCCAGTAGCAAGTAAAGTCTCCTGCTCACTCCCTCCCCTCCTCCCATCTTGTCAGGTGTGGCTTGGGGGCAGCATTGCTGGAATGTCCCTGTCTAGCCTCCTTTTTAGGGAAAAATCAAAGAGCAAAGGAATTTGTTATTTCCTAAGAGGGCTAGAAGATAAAACGTCGCAGCTTATTGGGCAACACAGAGAGGAGGGTTTCCCCATATCTTCTGTGGGGCATGGTTTATGGAGCAAACTTAGCAGTTGAAATGTCTCTAGACATAGATACAATTCTATGATTTTCATCCTTTTATAAATGGAAAGTTGGCCAGTAATCCCTGCTTATACAATGTGGCAGAAGAAAGTTAAAATTTCGCTTATGGAGTTTGACTCGCAGTTCGTATATTTTGGTAGCTTATTCGATGACTTTGTGAAGGTCTCAGCTTTCTTACATGAGAGACCCTGGACAGGGAGACGCTGAGAGGAAGCTGACGTGAAGTGTTTCAGGAGTGGCAATGGCAGTGGACAAACGTCGAGACTCAAATCCTTAGTAAACTATGAAAGTTGTAGACTCACAGAGAGCTTTAAAGAAAAGGCATTACCTTTTTCAATAACACGTCTCTTTATATTATAGGAATAATTCGTGATGATTATAGGAAAATTCAAAATTAAGGAAAAGTATAAAAAAGGAAATCAAAATCTGTCCAGATTTCCATACCCAGATTCTTACGCTCCCTTTCTGCCCCAAGAATGGCTCATCTGTCCCCCCCCTTATATCTATGGATGACAGTGACAGCCAAAAATCCTTAGTAAACTATGAAAGTTGTAGACTCACAGAGAGCTTTAAAGAAAAGGCATTACCTTTTTCAATAACACGTCTCTTTATATTATAGGAATAATTCGTGATGATTATAGGAAAATTCAAAATTAAGGAAAAGTATAAAAAAGGAAATCAAAATCTGTCCAGATTTCCATACCCAGATTCTTACGCTCCCTTTCTGCCCCAAGAATGGCTCATCTGTCCCCCCCCCTTATATCTATGGATGACAGTGACAGCCCACACCTGTCCTGTGATGAGCACTTCCCATGGCTTATCTTCATTACCCTCCTAATAGTTCTGTGAGTGAGTGCTTTCAGTTCCACTGTACAGAGGAGAAAACTAAGGCTGGGGAGGAAACCTGGCCCAAGGTCAGCCAGCTGGGATTGAAGCTGCCAGAGAGAAGCGGCCCTCAGATATTGTTTTCTCTTTTTTCTTTTCCTTTTTGTTAAAACACCAAATACTGTAGGCTCCAGGGACTTGTAAGAAGCGTGAGAGATTATGTGTGTATCATGCGTCAGGTGCCTTTCTGCTCTGTTCATACCTGGGTGCTTCGCCCCTTTGTCCCTTTCCAGGTATCATGGCCATCCTGTTCTCAGGCATCGTGATGTCCCACTACACGCACCACAACCTGTCCCCGGTCACCCAGATCCTCATGCAGCAAACCCTCCGGACCGTGGCCTTCTTGTGCGGTGAGTTCTGCCTCTGTGTCCTGCGCAGGCCGACCCAGAGCCAGCCTTTCTTCTTCCCGTTTGAGGAGTCCGAGATTTCCTTGGCCCAGAGGCAGCAGGATCCCTCAGAGCCAGATACCGCACTCCTTATATTTTGTTTGTTCCTCTGTCTTTCAAATCCCACAAAGCAAACCCAACAAATTCCATAAATACCTAACAAATGGAGCATTTGACGCCTACGATTTTAAAACCAAAAATAATGAGAACTACTTATTATGAACATTTAAGACTCATGCATTTCAATGTATTGAAGTGACATTTCCAAAAGTGTATTCCTTGGAACTAATATTGATGAGCGTTGGGTGAACAAAGACTCTGCAGTGAAAAAAAGAGTTTGGGAAATCCCGGGTAAATAAAGTTCAGCAAGTTCCGGAACTGCGAGACTTTTCAGCTGATGTACGTTGTGAATTTCTGAGAGAGGAATATGGTTATAGAGTTTCCCAGACTTGTCCACAGGATCTTCTGTTTACAAAAGCACCCCAAAGGACGTAATCTGGGGAGATTCTGCCTTAGAGGTGTTTGAACTGGGGCGAACCAGGGTGACCGTTTCTTTTAAGCAATTTCAGTTTGGGCCCTTGTTCCTCCCACACTCAGTTCACATTCCTCCCCCCTGGTTTATACCTGTCCTTTTGCACAGGTCCCCCAAGTATCTGTGCCGTCGCTGTCCTCATCAGCACCGCCCCTGGCGTTTTAGTGGAGCTCGCCTCCTGGCAAAGCTCTAGTTCCGTGCGGCCATGTGCTCTGAGGCAGGGGCAGGCCGCACGGAGACTTCATTCCACGGATGAGGAGGCTCGGGTGCCGAGACGTCAGATGACTTGCCCACATTGTCCCGGCTCAGAAGTGAGTCTAGAAGCCACGTCTGTCTCTTTCTGGTCCAGTGGGTATCTTGTCCATAGCACCCCTCTCAGAAAGTCATGGCTAAAGACTCTGACCTGACTCTCACAAGTAAATGAATATAAAGCAAAATGTCATCAATTCTAAGCAAATCAAAGCAAAATTCTATTTTGTACCCATGAGATCGGTAAATTTTAGGTTTGATATTACCCACTTCTGGCATGAGTATACAGAGAACAAGTCCTGCTGATGGGTGTGTACATCGATGCCATCTTTTTTGGAGAGTCATTCATAGCATCTGTCTGAATTTAAAAAGTACATGCTCCTTGATCCACAATTCTGCCATCAGGAATTTTGCCTGTGTATGCGGACATTTGTTGTAGTTTGTAATATCAGAAATAGAGTCTAAATAACCATTGACAGAGGATTTATTAAATTAACTGTGACATACCCATATAATAGAATTTATGCTGCCAGAGAAAAGCATAATACAGATCTGAACATGTTCTAAATGAGCTGTTTTGGAAAGATCACAAAAATATTTATTGGGTCAGAAAAAAATTCAAGGAGAAGGGTGAGTCTACTGTCCCGCTTGTAGACTTGTTTTAAAAGGATATACATTTGAAGAAGAAACATGACCAAAATGTTTTAAAACAGCCTCACTGTTTTATGATGTTCAGCTGTTTTAAAATATAGTCTTTGTCTCCCTAGCTATTAGGCCCCTTCTGGAGGACGTCCCAGTTTCAGCAGGGAGCCTCGGACTAGAAATGTGTGCGGTGCTTTTCCTTAGGATACACAAGCCACTGCTTGTACAACGAGCATAAATGTCGGACTCTTATTGACTCATGGAGCAGAGCCAAAAGTTGGAAATGTGTCTCTTCCTGCAAATCCTGCAGGGTGTAAGGCGTCTTCTAAACCCCTGGCTGTATTAATTAAAAATGTGAAGTCAATCATTTTGGCTTTGTCCGCTCTGGCAAGGAAGTCAACAAAGGGCCCTTTCACGTTAGTCATGTGGCGTCTGAATTTTTGCCACTTTGCCACCGTTGGGATCCTTGCTAATCACAGTGTTCAGCAAATGGACTGATTCGTATATTTATCATCTTCCCTGGGTGGGAGAGTATTTATTTGCATGACTGTTTGACAGTTGACTCATTAAATTAGGAGATTCTGAATAGCAAGCACATGTTGCTTGTGTGATAGAAAAGAATAGTTCAAGTTCAAGTTTCACCAAGGTATTGATTGCAGGATTTTCCAGCATACAAGCAAAATGTTATATTGGATTCTGACTTGCTTGTGAATATTTGCTTGCTTAACAGCTTTGTACTTGCTGGAAAAAAAAATCGTTGAAGCTGAATAATTCATTCTTTGGTTTGTTTCAGAAACATGTGTGTTTGCATTTCTTGGCCTGTCCATTTTTAGTTTCCCTCACAAGTTTGAAATTTCCTTTGTCATCTGGTGCATAGTAAGTATTTTCCTTGCTTTTTTTATTTAATTACTTACTCATAGATTAGTAACCACATGTTCTGGATTTATTTGTTGATAGCCACATAGACTCTCCTGTTTAAAGTTTCTTTTGTTAAAAAAAATCACAAACGTACAATAAAGGGAAAAATAAATCAATATTCCTAGAAAAGGATTTTTGCTTCTTTTTACATCTTAAATGGCCTTGAATGTTAAGGTCTTCTTTTAAAAGTACAAATTCATGTGTTTTTGTGTTAGGTGGTAAAAGCATATTTCAGAATTAACTATGTAATTGAGCATAACCATGTAAAAACGTTATTCATGGATAAAAGAAAATATGTGAAGAAAATAGACCAAATGTTCCCAGTGCTTGCAGAACTAGAGATGATTTCTTTCCTGTTTTCTGGATAATTTCTAATGCACATTCTTCTTGCTGTTTTCTTCCGCTGTGTCCATTCATAAGCCTGACCTTGTACGCTTGTTTAGAGTAGAGATTACAGGGCCCTTAGCTCCCTTGGAGACTTATCCAGGGGAATAAATCATCCCAGGTGATTCTTACCATCAAGAAGGTTTGGGGAAATGTAATTGGACTGGTGGCGACAGTAGGAGACAGGTGAAAATATACCTCTAAAAGAGGAAAACAGGAGTTCAATTATTTGCAGTAGAATCAAATCCTTTTGGGGAATGAAGTGGGGAAAAAAATAAATGGTTAGCATTTAAGAGAAAGGTCCAGCTCCTAACAGTTTGGGCATTTGGCCTGGTGTTTCCAGGCAACTTGTCTGTGTTCCTCCTATGTCCTTGTCCCTCGGTGTGAGCTCATCTCCTGTTGGCCCTCCTCCTGATTCATAGTCCAGTCCCTAATCTGATCTGTTTGTTGTCTTTTTAGAGCCTATGTTACCTTAAGACACTTAAGAAATACACCTTATTATTGTTGAATGATTATAATTCATTGTCAATTAACTATTATTACCAACTCCACGTAATAAACACAGCTGTTGAGTGAGAGGCAAACTTTTTTTTAAAGCACAGTCGTCTACCATGTGCCAACCAATGAAGCCTATCTGTTTGGCATATGTGGAACCCGGGGCACGGAGAAGATAAGGAAACCTAAGGAAAAAGATGTTTCTCCTTGCAATCTGGGTGCTTCCACCTCTCGGTCAACAAGAGCGAGTCGCTTTGTCACTGTTATCTGTCCTCCAAAACGAGGACAGCAGCAAGCCTTTTCAGAATGTAGTCTTTAGTGCGGTCAAACCTGAAATGCAAGTGTAGGAATGGAAGGTTGGATTCCAGGGCGTCACACAGGGAGGCGACCGTCTCACCATGGGTTGGGAGGAAAAGGAAAATGAGAGCATGCTCTGGAGTGGTGACTTTTTTCCCCCTGAGCACATACGCTGGCCCGGCCTGCGCCCTGCAGATGGATGACCTCAGTCTGGCTCATTAGTCAAGAGCATGGCCTTTGGGGACTGAACCAGGTTTGAGACTTGGCTCTACTGCTTCCTGCCTGGTCAACTCGGACCAGTTACTTAACCTCTCTATGTCTCCATTTCCTTGTCTCTAAAATGGAGACAATAATTCCTACTTCATAAAACCAGTGCAGGAGTCTGAATCTAACTAGATAACGCATATAAAATGCTTAGCGCATTGTCTGGCATATAAATGTTAGACGACTGGGAGCCATTATTAACTTGATTATCCAGGGCGCACGGTCCAAAGCACACTCAATTTGTGCTGGTTAAAAGGATAAACTTAGAGCCTACAGAATGTGCGAGTGTATATTATCCTTTTCAAGTTAGTTCTGGTGAGAAGATTAAAAAGTGAAAGTAAATTAATAAGTAGTTCTAAGTATCCACTCAGATAAGATTTAAACTTTACATAAAGCTGTATTTTAAGACCGACGTACCTCTGGAGATGGTTAGGAACCAAAATCCATGGCAAGCAACTGGCTAGGCAGATGCACTTGACCTTTAGAACCTACCTACGCATTCCTTTTGCTCAGGAGCAGCGCATTCCTTCCTTTCCCTGAGGAGTGGGGCCCCCGCAGGAGAGTCAGGAACACCTTGTCTGTCCCTCCAGAGCTAGCCCATTGAGAATTAGCACAGGCATGCCCCACAGTGGAGCACCTTTGGAGCTAGATTGCCCTTAAATTAATCTCCAGGTACCTCTGCATGGCCTCTTGGCATTTGGTTTTGTTCTGCTGTCGTTACTAAAGCCATCGCCAATACCTTGTGAGGCCTCTCTGACCACTGAGACGTGAGGTGCAAAGCTGTATCCTTTCCCAGACTCATACAAACCAGGCAACGAGGGCAACACACCCCGCTGGGTTTCTGACCAGAATTGTTTTTCGTGCCTTTATAACCAAGGGGAACGCTGTGTTTATAAAGGGTGTGTTGCAAGGCCTGTGTGAGCCTCCACGAGCTCCAGCCTGAAGAACCAGAGATTTCATCTGAGACTTGGTTTGTTGCTATTAACAGGTGCTCGTACTGTTTGGCAGAGCGGTGAACATCTTCCCTCTTTCCTACCTCCTGAATTTCTTCCGTGATCATAAAATCACACCGAAGATGATGTTCATCATGTGGTTTAGTGGTAAGTTTAATCTTGAAGGAACAAGCAAGGAACAATCCCTCTTACAAAGGCACAATACACTGTGCAGTGAGGGCATGTAGCTAGATAGAGCATTTCGAAAACGAGTGTGCCTCATAAGCCGAAAATAACCCAGGCTCCCATGTAACAGGCACCTCCTGTAATCCAGGCCCTGGGCAAAGCCCTTAATAGACAGTACAGCTTGCCAGCTGTGAAATGGGAAGTGTGTGTCTTCTGCTCTACAGAGGAGGACACTAGGCTCAAGGACAAAGCACTTGCTTGGGATCACATGACCATAGAAGGCAGAGCCAGGGGCGCCCTCCTTCCATCTGACTTCCGTCTGATGGACAGGACAGCCCAGGGCAAGAAGTGTGCTTTCTAGGCTGAAATAAGTCGCTCAAAAGAAAGAAAAAGTTTAAACTTTTTGTACTATAGGCTAGATTTGGATACTTTTTTCCCGTTTAATCACTAAGTTCTGATAGTTTATTTGAACATTTCAGTTGCTGTTTAATCATATTCCTCTACTTTTTAAAGGATGGAAATGATTTCATTAACCTTTGGCTTCTAAAGAACTGGATCCCTAGGCATCTTTACATTTATTTTTGAGCAATACATCCAGATCTTTGTGCTTTCTTATTTAAATATTATAATTAAAATGTTTCCATGTGGATTGGGCTTTAGCAACATGCTTTATAAGTTATTTCCTATCCAACAGCATATCTATAAATTTCTCAGATTTCTCTTCTTTTTCCAAAGGCCTTGTTTAAAATATATACGTATATACATGTGTGTGAGATAAGTATGTGTGTGTGTGTATGTATGCATAGTGAGAGAAAATTTCTCAATCTCTTTTGCCAGTGAGGAAAAAAAATTGTGAAGTAGTTGATCCAAGGTCTTGAAAATCTTAAAGAAAATCTAGGAAACACATCAGATATTATATAAAGTTATGTGAGACTTTTGGGGAGAGGGGAATAAGAGACCTCTATGGGGTGTTGGGGGGTGTTGGGGGAGCACATTTCCAACAGCGAGGGCTGTTGGCGCCAGGCATTCTGTCCCAGGCCATCCCGCGCCCTCTCTCCACTGAGCTCCACCCTCTTCCCTGGTTCTTCAACCTCTGTCTCCACCGGCTCCTCTCACCATCATTTAAACAGTTGAAGATTCTCCTCTTCCCCAGCGCAAAACCAACAGCTTCAACCAAAGCCCCTCCCCCACGTCCTCTCCAGCTGCTTCCCCATCTCATCCCACCGTGGCCAGCTCCCTTTGAGTGGGCTGTCCTCTCCCATTTTCTCCACTTCCTCGCCTCCTGGCCATTGGGCCGCACTCGGCCTTGTCCTGGTCACCCCCTCGGCTTGGGCTCCTTCCTCCCACCGACCTGCCTTCTTACTGGAGACCATCCTCCCCAATTCCCTTGGCTTCTTGGTGGTGCATCTGGTCTCCCACATTCCCCTTTGGGGTCTCCTCAGGCTCTCATCCCGCTCCCCCTCCTCTTTCACTGGCCCCTGAGTATTGGGTTCCTCAGGACTCCGCCACACTCCCTCTGTTCCTGTTCTCCCACAAGCTCACCCGTCCTGTGGCCTCGCTTCCATTTGGTTCCCCTACTCCCAAAGCTGTTCCCTCTGACCCAGACCTCTTCTCTGAGATCCAGACCCCTGTGTCTGAGTCCTCCTTGGATGTCGTGGGACATTGCGATCTCATTGTCTAAGAATGAACTCACCTTCCTGCCCAACCTGCTTTGCCAGCATCCCCCTTCCACAGAAAACAGTAATGTGTATATATAACAGGTGTGGCTAACTCTTACTGTTTGCTCTCTGCACACGCTGTTCTGAGCCAAGGCATTTCATCCCTGAGCCACCGACATGGCAGGCCCTGTTTCTAATCCCTTGTGACAGGTTGAGCAGTTGAGTCATTCATCCCAGCCTGGGAGGCCCGTCGGAAAGCAGGGGCCAGGAGCTGAACCCAGGGCCAGACTGCAGAGCCCATGCCCAGACCATTGCATGGCACAGCCTCCTAGGACACCCCACCCACTGAAGACCCGGGCATCCTGTCAGCCCTGCTTTTCCCCGGTCACCCCACCTCCCTGTGAACTGTTGCTGCTGCTCCCTGTCTCTCTTAATTCTGTCCCTTACCCTCCTCCCCACCGTGTCCTCCCCACCGTGTCCCCATCTGGGGTCTGGACCGCTGCAGCAGTCGGACCCCCATCATGCCGTGAGGTTTCTACCTCCGAGCCGGGGTCAGATCCTGTCGCCGTATGCCTGGCCCTGCACTTTCTTCTTCTGGCGCTTACCACTTCACAAGTCCTCCTCCTTCAGTGTCTCCGCCCTACTCCCCAAAAGCACCATGAGGGCAGGACCAGACCACCTGTCCCCACTATGTAAAGCAGGCAAGCAGGAAGCTCCTTAGAAAGAAAGCGCTGTTTCCAACGTACTGTGTGCCCCTCAGTCCAAACAGCAGCCTCACAAGGGGCCCAAACAGTAGGTAAGGAAGAGGCCGGGATGCAGCCCCCAGCGGGCTCTGGCCACCACCAGGACCTCCGATCCTGTCGGTGCTGCCAGGAGCTGCATGGGGCGGGGGGAGGGGGGCAGGTTGCATTCTTTGATGTCGCCTGTAAAGCTGTGTGGCCCTGTGAGGACACTTCATTCTCTCAGTCCCAGTTCCTCATCCGTACACTGTGGAGAATAGTAGGATCCGCCTTGCAGGGCGTCCTGTGCAGAGCAAGTGGGTCGTGCACACAGAACCCTCGGCCCAGGGCCTGGCTCACACGCAGGGAGGGCTCGGTCTGCGCTAGCTGTCGTATTTCTGAAATGTGCGTGTCAGGCTTGATCACACACACACACGCACGTGCACGCACACAGTGCTTCATAGCCCAGACGGGTCACCTCATTTGACCTGCTCAGCCACCCTGTAAAGTGACAGTGGAGGTGAGCCTCTCCGTGGCCTGCTTTTCTCTATCCCAGGGCCCCACAGGAGGAGCTCGTACTCTCTAGTGGGGTCTGTGAGATGGTTCAACTGGCCATGATGCCAGGCCGTCCCCAGGTCCCCAGAGAACCGGGTCACTGATGCCACCGCCTCCCCCCTCCTTCGATAGCTCCTCTTACTCCCCTCGCTGTCCACCCAGGCCTGCGGGGCGCCATCCCCTACGCCCTGAGCCTGCACCTGGACCTGGAGCCCATGGAGAAGCGGCAGCTCATTGGCACCACCACGATCGTCATCGTGCTGTTCACCATCCTGCTGCTGGGCGGCAGCACCATGCCCCTCATCCGCCTCGTGGACATCGAGGACGCCAAGGTGCACCGCCGGAACAAGAAGGACGTCAACCTCAGCAAGACGGAGAAGATGGTTAGTGCCATGGGCCCGGGCGGGGCCGAGGGCTGGTCCCTGCTGACCGCCTGGAGATGGCCCTGGGGTGTAGGCCCAGCTGACTCCCCTAGGAGAACAGCAAACGCTGCGTTCCAATCCGGTTGGCCGAGCCTGCAGGGCCCGCAGCCGGGCTGAGTAGATCCAGTGAACTCGAGACCCACCGGACATGCAGACCTGCCCTGCCAGTGCGGTCACTCTCTTCATTCCTCTCTGGTTCCTGCTGGGATTGTGGCCTGTGTCTCTCTCCCTCCCTTCCATCCCCTCCCTGGCACTGACCTGCCCAGAACTGCAGGCAAAAAATGACATGTTTTTGATAATGTTCAGTTTGCTGATAATGAGAGCTCAGTCTGGAGCCGAAGTTCCCAGTCCTCTCAGCACAGTACAATCTCCTGGAAGCCCCGTCTGACTTTTTCACAATTCCGACTTCCTCCTGGGTATCCTTTGTGTCTTTACAAACCTTCCCGCCTCCCCGAAGACTCCTAGGAAGCCCTTTGCTGCCCACAGACGCACTGCGCTGACTTGAAAGTGCAGCTGGGGTTGGGGACACTGGAGTCCAGGGCTGAAGGGCTGCCAGGGAGGCTGGGAGGTGTGGGGCTTCCAAGAAGATGCCAGCAGATGACCCTCCCGCTGCCTCCCTTCCCCCACAGGGCCACACGGTGGAGTCCGAGCACCTGTCCGAGCTCACGGAGGAGGAGTACGAAGCCCACTACATCAGGCGGCAGGACCTCAAAGGCTTCCTGTGGCTGGACGCCAAGTACCTGAACCCCTTCTTCACACGACGGCTGACTCAGGAGGTGGGACATAGGCCAGTGCCATGTGGCCAGGGGTCCATTGCCTTTCTACTTCAGGGCAGTGGCAGTGGCCGGGAAAGGTCCACGTGCTATGTTGGGGAGGGACAGCCAGGCCGCCTCCGCTTGGCTCGCTCCTTCCCAGGCCCACGGGCTGGATGTGCTGTGGATCTCAGCGTCTGCTGTTTTTCCTTTGCTGCCAGATTTAGAGCTAGTTTAATAATAGACTTGTTAACACAGTTTGCTTTTCCTGGATGATAGACTCAGGACATTGATCAGCTCCTGAATCTGAGCTGAGGAATTTCAGACATGCCAGGGCCTCAGGCAAGGGCCCAAGGCTCAAGGTCTCGTTCCATCCCTCCGGGCACTGCTGGCCTCTCGGTGACAGTGCATGCGCAGTTTCATGGGGTCCAGCTTGGGCTCACTTTGTTGAAACGGTCAGCGTGCCCCCTGTAGGCCTTTGGGGTGGGGGTGGGGGGCCTTCTGCTGCTGCCCTCCTTGGTTCCTGCCCTGTGTCCCCCCCTTCGGCAGTCACCGTGCTGCCTCAGTCGGGGCTCTTACTATGAGCCAGACGCTGCATCACATCTTCCATGATTGCTTCGGTTCATTCTTCTCCCAACGTGCAGCGGATGCAGCTGTTATCTCTGACAGCTGGGCGGCTGAGGCCCAGAAAGGCAAAGTAGCCCCCTGAGGACACACAGCCAGTGGGAGGCAAAGCTGGGAGTAGAGCCTGAGTATGTCTGATTCCAGAGCCACATTTTTTAACATCAAGCCATCCTGCCTCCTACTCCTGTTTCTGAGTGACACCTCCTGTTACCTCCACCCCCACAAAGAAGAATCCCAGGGAGTCAGTCAGTTAACACTTTGAAATTGTCAGTTAACACTTTGAAATTGCCTGTGGCCATGTGGCCTGGCTCCCATCCCCTCCACTAGGTGCAGAGCAGCTCCCCTCCCTTCCTTGACCCTGACCCTGACCCTGACCCTAACCCTGACCCACTGACAGGGCTTGGTTGTGTCCTTGCTCCAGGACCTCCACCACGGGCGCATCCAGATGAAAACCCTCACCAACAAGTGGTATGAGGAGGTGCGCCAAGGCCCCTCTGGCTCTGAGGACGACGAGCAGGAGCTGCTGTGACTGGGCAGGGTGCTGCTGGGCCAGCGGGGCTGCCGCGCTGCCCTCGGCCTCCCCCGGGCTCCCAGGACGGACACCCAGCAAGGACCCCGGGAGGTGCATGCGTTTGGCCGCCTCTTCAGGGAAGATGAAAGCAGGGTGAAGCCAAGGCCTTCGGAGCCAGCTGGCTTCTTCTGAAACGTGTCATCTCCCCACTCCTCACTGAGCCGGGCCTCTGCTCACGGTGGCTCCCTGCAGATTGGAGGGGCCACCTGTCCAGGTAAATGTTTCCTTTTGCTTCTGCAGCCAAGGCAAACAGTCATCTGTCCAGCCGAGGTGCCTGAGAGGAGAAAACCTGCTGCTGTGACTGGGCGTCCTCGGGGGAGCTCTGGTTTGCAGTCTCCGCCATTCCCAGCCACTGTCTTCATCGCGACCCCTGAAGGGGCTGGGCGTCCGCAGGAGCCAGCTGCCGTTTTCCTTATCGTCAAGGTGCCTCGGGTCTCAGCAGCAGCAATTGTGACCCAAGTGGCAGGCCCGGGAATCTTGAAAACCTTACACTCCCCTCTGTGACATTGCTTGCACACCCTGAGAAAAACTGGGTGAACTTTTTCTTCTTTACCTCTGATTTGGCACCTCACAGGCTGTCTCCCCGTGTGGCGGGCAGCCACTGCCTTCTCTGGGAATACTGTGAATGTTTACACTGGGACTGACACGCGGGCACAGGCCCTTTTCTCAAGCCCCATGGGAAGCCACATCCCTGGGTTTTTTGGGGGTGAGTGAACCTATTCTGTGGGCTCAGAGCGCCCTCTGGAGGGAAAAGCTAGAGGTACAGGGCTTACGCGGGCCAGCAACTGCTGTTTCTGAATTCAGTTTAAATTCACACACTTTTTAACAAAGTGGTGAGAGCCTCGCAGTCGCCTCCCTGACCGTGATTCCCCACTCGGTGTCCTTGTTCGTCCAGAGGCCCTTTTCCTGGGCTCTAGAGGGTCTGCCCGCCATTTACCTGCTCCACCCTCACTGCTCATCAGCGTTTCCTCTTTCTCAGTTCTCTACCATTTTGGGTCCCATTTGTCCCCCATGCCAGGGTCCCAGCTCGCCCAGCACTAGGGCAGGGAGCCAGAGCCTGCCACCCCTCCCCAGGACTCCAGTGGCCTGGAGCCAGACGCATCTGATCCTTACCTGCAGTACCCGAGCAGCCACTGGGACCCCACGGCCCCATCACACAGTGATCGCACAGCCACTGGGACCCCATGGCCCCGTCACACAGTGATCGCGCAGCCACTGGGACCGCACAGCCCCGTCACACAGTGATCACGCAGCCACTGGGACCCCTCGGCCCCGTCACACAGTGACCGCGCAGCCACTGGGACCCCTCGGCCCTGTCACACAGTGATCGCGCTCTCTCTTACAGTGCGTTCTTCCTCCCCTGCCTTCCTCCCTCCCCCACACACCAGCGCCCCGGCCATCCTGGGTGAGGAGCTACCAATCATGTCCAGATGAAACGGAGTTACTGACGCTCACATCCACGCACACCTGACCTTTGATAAGCCTCACACCTGCTTCTCTTTGTCCATCTGCAGTCTGTTGGTGATTCTCACATGTGGCTCAGGGTCCCCGCTGGAGCTGGGACTTGGCACTCTCTGGGTGGTTTAATTCATCACGTGCATGTCCTTGGTTCTCTGTGAGGACCCACTGGGCCACCAGGGACCCTAGGCTGGCAGCAAGCATGAGTCTGTCTCTTCTGCCTCAGGCAGCATGGCTCTGGACGTCAGGAAGGACTGACCTGGGGACCCTCCGGGACTGCGAGGCCAGACCCCTGTCCTAGCCCTTTCCCTTTCCCCAGAAGTGTAAGTGTGAGGCCAGTCGGGCAGGAAGCCCTGGTTTCCTTTTCATGCATGAAAAGTAAATTTGTACTTGATAGTGCTGAAAATACGATCTTTTCCTTTTTGTACTCTCCCACCTTAACCTCCGAATTTGAACCGAACAGGACTCTTTTGCTCCACTTGCTATCCCCGCCGGAGGAGTGATGCGTGCATAGTCCTGGTCTCTCGTTTCCTGTTTCCCTTCAGTGGAAAAGTAAGAGAAGAGGCCAAAGAGGGAGAGGCTCTGCCCACACGAGGTGGGGAGGGGCGGCGATCTGAGACCAGATTGTTTCATTCCCCAACTCACAAATAATTTACTTTCTCCCCTAAAATTCAGGGTCTGATCTCAGAGGTGGAAGTTGCATTGCAAACTCAATGGCTTGCCAGAAAAGAAAAAATTTTTGTGTGTGTGTGTGAGTTCATAGAATAAATAATGAAACCAGGATCCTCTTGATTCAGGCTGCCCCTGTTAGTAGGGAAGCACATGGCGGGCTTAGCTGAAGGTCCCCAAGGCTTGGCTGTGGGGAGAGGGGACACGTTTCCTGGCAGATAACGGCACCACCTAGACCTCGCGAGCCTCTTCTGCCCCCTGCTGGCTGAGTGAGGGTTTGGCCTGGGAGAGCGTTCCCACAGAATCGAGGGTGCGTAACCCACGTTCCTCAGCAGTCTGGCAGTCTGTCTGGTCACTTCTGGCAGTCTGTCTGGTCACTTTTGGAACAGGCGGAAGCCCATGGAGATTTTTCTGGTGGATTTTTTCAAATGTATTTGCCTGAGAATCAAAACTGCTGCTGTCTACCTATAGCATACCTAATCTATTATTTAGAACAATAAATGCCTAGATTTTAAAAATCCAGCGTAACTATAACTTCTCACATATTTATTTTCTTTTAGGCCATGGGACAGGAGAGCTGTAGCATGTAGAGAAGGTGACACTATTTAGAGTGAGGTGAAGTCTGGGAAGTCGGTGTGTGCCTTTGGGGAAGCTGGCCTGTTAGCCAGTGAACTCAGAAGCCATGGCTGTCTTGGGGAGCCATGCGGCAGCAAGCCCCACACCCTGAGACGACTCCTGTAGCCCCACACAGCAGCTCTACGATTGTGAACTTCTTAGAATAAATCCCATGCTTTCTGCAGCCCTGTCATTGTAGGACCCCTAGGAACAAACCATACCCTGAGGCTTGGGGTATGAGGCCTTACAGGGGAAGAAGCTCACTTTCCCTAGGTCCGCAGAGATCAAGTTTGGACTGCCCTGGGCCCAGGCCAGGCAGAAGGTGGCTCAGTTCCACAGTCTGGCATTCAGACACTCAGCCCAGGAGCAGAACCGAAACCCTCCCACTCCCAGGCCAGCCTCTTCGCAGTGCGAATGCTGGTCGGGTCCTGGCTGTTGTGAGGCCAAGGGGCAGGGCCTAGCCCAGGACTCAGGCAACCCGAGTCATCCCGGGGGAGGCACTGATGTGCCTGCGGATTCCTTCGTGTGCGGTGGAAGGTGGCAGATTGGTGAGTGAGGATCTTCTCTCCTTAAAACTCACGCCATCAGCAAGACTTAGCCTCGTGAGGTCTCAGTTCCACATTCCCACGGGGGCCCACACATTTGGCATAGTCCTCAATGAGGTGGCCACAGCCTGGGTCTCATTTCTGCTTGGGGGGAGGCAAAGCGGGGGGAGGGCGGTGGCCAGCTTCTCCTTGGCCAAGTCATGGCAGCAAAGATGCAGGCATGGCCTGGGGTGGGTCTGGTCCTAGAACTGGTCCCTGATTCAGATGTGAAGAGGAATCTCTCAGCAGCAATGATGTGCCGTTGATTAGAACTTTAAATGCAAAAAAAGAGAAGAGGTCCCCTTGCTCCTTCCCCATTCCCCCCAGAGAGCAGTCATGTGTCTCTCCTGCTGGTTGGTGAGTAGGAAACCAAATCTGAAACGTTCCTGATACAGCAGCCAGAATCACTAAGTCTTCTACCAGGAACCCGGTCTCCAACGCCCCAGGCCATATGTTTTAAATGAAAACACCACAGAGTAAAGGCTTAGAGGGAATGCAGTAGCCACACTCCTTCCATTTAGGCCCCTGCCATTTCTCACACAAATGGAGTTAGATATTCAGGGTCTACCACTGTCACTGTCACGTGACAGAAAAAAGGACGACTTTCTAATTTAACCTGGTCCACCTTTGTCCTCCCAGGCTGCTCTGCATCAGCTGCCTGATGTCCAGGTAAGAGCATCCTTGAGGGCCCTGTGGCCCGTGACTGGATGGGGATTTGTGGGTCACCCGTGGGCCTGTCAGCCTCGTGGAAGAGCCAGGGAAGGGCCCGTTAGCCTGTCCCTGGTGCTGGCTTCTCACAGCCCCAGCCCCGCTCGGAGGAACCGCGAGGGCACACAAGGAGGGCACGTGGCCGGGGCGGTCTCCTTACTCGCTGGACGCTGTGAGGTTTGTCACTTAACAGATTTAACGTTTACTCCTAACAGCTCCTGCAAGCTCGATGTGTTCTCAGGGTGAATCAGAACCTTGTATTCTGTTAAGCAATTTTCTTTGCAAAATGAAGGATTTTTTTTTTTTTTTAAGTACTGCTTTTTGATTTGTTTTGAGAGCCATTGGGACAGTCAGACTTATTCTTTCTGTTCTCTTCCCGATAAGCTGTGAGAAGCATTTGTTAGGGCCCGGTTCCTCAGAAAGGATTTGCTGTTCTTCTTGATGGGGCTTTGGACTGTGGAGGGGAAGATGGGTCAGAGGGGGGAACTATGGGGCTTTAGCATCAGCCTGGTCCTGGGGACAGAAGGGACCAGGAGCCCTCTGGGTACATAGGCAGCTTTCAGATGATGCCCTAATGCAAATGGGGAGGAAATAGGTCTTTGCTTACTGAAATGTAGTTAATTTATGTTGTGGCCAAATGAGCTGCACACTCCCACCTGCTGGTGGGAGGGCCAGCTGGTTCAGACTTTTTGGAGGCTACCTTGGAGACACCTGTCAAAAGCCTGGAAATGTCCCGTGTTTTGACACAGCAACTCCCCTCAACAAATGTGCACAAAAATTTGGCTCCAAGAATAGTCACCTTGACAATATCTGTAATGAGGAAAAATTGAAAATAAACTCTTTGCCCATCAGTGAGGGATTGGTGGGAAAAATGATAGAATATTTACCAGCAATTAAAGATTTAATGGTGTGGGGATGTTTTACAGTGTATTAGGTCAGCATCTTGCCACCTTTTAAGGAGAGAATAAAATTCTCTAATATTTGAAATTTCAAAATGACTAAAAATGAATCAAAGGAGAAATCTTACATTTTTTAAAATTCAGATACCACTCGTCAAACACCCACTAATCCCTAATGTGGCGGACCTGTAGGTTGCCCCCCGACCACCATCTCCACCCTGTGCCCTGTTGTCTTTGCTGAGAGAACCCATTTTTCTCATGTGAAGCGGGGGAGCATTTGCACCAAGGGGAAACTAGACCCATCCCCAGTGCAAGCTGGTCCCGGTCCTTCCACTCCCATCGCCCGAGTGGCTGAGGAATGGGCCTTTGACCCAGTGCCGTCTGGACAATGAAGCAACATCTTAGGGGAATTTTTAGAACTCTTTCCTCACTCCCAAAAAAGATTCAAGGAGGAAAAGCACCCTCTTCCCACCGTCTGGCCTTTGCCTCCCGTTCTGTGAGGATGTGATATCTGAACCTGCCACAGCCACTTTGAGTCGATGAGGGAAGACCTCGCGGACACCCTGAGGGTGGCAGAGCAGAGGGCCTGTCTTTAATGACACAGCTGGACCCATGAATTAACTAGTCCTGGAACTGACCTCCCTCTGATCTCACTGTGTGAGACAATACACGTTCTTACTGTTTATGCCACTTCTGGTTGGGTTTTATTTTACAACAAACATAATCCTGATACAAGCAGATTCCAAAATAATGTGCACAGCATTAGCCTCTAAAAATTAAATTAATGGCATGTTTATATATAGGAAAAAAATCTGGAAGGATAAGTGTCAAGTTTTAACTTTGGTTCTGAGTAGAAGGATTATGGATAACTTAAACAATCTTGTTGTCTGTATAAGTTTTTCTTTCTTTCGTAAAGAACATTTATTCAGTAAGAAGGAAGACACAATGTGCTATCTTCACTTTCCAAAATGTGGTTACAAATGACGCCAGAACTGGAGGGGCAACGCAGTGAACGGAGATCTGATGTGACAGTAAGAGCGCGGGAAGAAGCCTCATCCTCCTCAGGTGAGACTCCGAACTGAAAGAATGAGTTTGAAGCACATCTGGCGATACCCAGTCAAGTCAAAGACGCCTGGCCCCCTTCCGCCCAGCAGCTCCTCCCCTGGGTTTGCTCATGCCCCAGCTGACGAGGGTGGCACACTCCTGACTGAGGGCCAGCCCAGCCCGCCTCCTGCTGTGCTATCAGAGAGCTAAGAATGGTTTTTAACAGTTTCAAATGGTTGGGGAAAAAAAAAAAATTCAAAAGAAGAATACTATTTCATGACATGTGAAAACGATATGAAATTCAAATTTCAATGTCCATAAATAAAGTTGTGAATTTTTAAATTAAAAAAATCATGGAAATTTGTTTTCTCTCTTGTTATATAAGTAGCTACTTTTTTTTTTTTTCTTTTGCCTCTTGGCTCCCATAGCCAAAACTATTCACTGTCTGACCATTTACAAAAAAAAGTTTACCCACCCCTGGCCTGCCCTAGAGAAATTCTCACCCACTCATGCACCTTGTAAGAGACACCTACAAGAATATTTGTAATAGCAAGATGTTGGAAACAAGCTAAATGATTGTCACGAGGAGAATGGATAAACCGCGGCACAGTAATACAGTGGAATACGATACAGCAGTGAGAATGGAAGGATGAATGAATGAATGAAACTAGAACGCACATGTCAATGGGATAAATGTCAGAATGCTGAGGGAAGCGGGAAGAGCAAGCCGCAGAAGAATACAGCATAGGAAGTACACGTAAAACCATGCACATAGTGGTGCTTCGGGACGCAGACGGGAGCGGTGAAAATGTGAAGATTGGGAAGGTCAGCGCCAGGACCCGGGCCCTCCAGGGGAGGGGAGGAAAGGTGAGGAGCTGCATTTGGACCACATTTCACCCACCCTGGCTTCACCCGTATCCCTGATGTTTCATTCCCTAACAGAGCTGAGGGCAACCAGGAGTTCCTCGTATCTGCAAACTTGCAAACGCTCTTCACGCTCCCTGAGCCTCGGTCCTTCTCCCTGGCTCCGTGGTGAACAACTGAGATGCTCTCGAGGACCACCCCAGGCCCATGACACCCTCGTATCCTCAGGATTAGCTTTAGTCATGGGTGACAAAATCAAAACGGGTCGTGGCTTCCCTGGAGTCCTTGAGATCCAGGACTCTTAGTGTGGGGAAAAAAGGACAAGCAAGGTTCAATGAACATTCTGCGGCCCTGAATTAACAGTGTTAAGTAGAAGCATGAACTTGTGATGTATGCTGTCTTTCCTAAAAATGCCCATCTGTTCCTCTGCCCACTGAAGACACCTAAAACCTGTTAGCAACCCAGTGGCAGTGACACCCTGAGTGCTCAGACTGGGCTCTCTAAATGTCATTTCACATTGAAAGGACCCAGGACTCTGGATAAACATTTGACTCTGGGACTTGGGCAGGACGTGTACGAGATGAACCCGGAGCACCTTGTCGTACCAGAGAGCGAGGAAGCAAAGATTTCAGGGTCAGAAGGACTGAGGAGCCAGCCTGAAGGGGTGCCTACTGGCCAAAGGTGGGAACTGGAACATCAACAACGATAATAATGCAACGGACCGAAACGCTTAAAATATACTGAAATCAATGAGTTCATAATGATACTTTAAAAAAATGAGTCATTCTTTGGGGGATTCTAAGGTATTGACTCATTATTCTAAGTAAAAACAAAAGGAAAGACCTAAGCGTTTATCCCACCTTTCTTATACCACTGGTAGTCAAATAGTAGATGAGAGGAGTTTCTTTCTCCTTAACTTAAAAAAAAAAATCATAGATCTATAGGAAGTTGCAAAAAATAGTACGGAAAGGTCCTCCATCCCCTGTACCGTTTCCCCCCACAGTGCTAACACCTTGCATAACTACAGAACAACATGGCAACCAGGAAACTGACGTGTAAGTGCAATCCACAGCCTCTGGTCTGGTCATCAGGTTTGCATGCTCTCCTGTGTGCATGTCTGTGTTTAGTTCTATGCAATTTCATCACGTGTAAATTCACACCACCACAGGGAAGTCTCTTTTTATAAAAGTATTCTAGTTGCCAAAGAAGGAACACTAGAATTAGAATATCTCCATTTTGCAACCTACAGTGAGATAATGGATCTAAGTACTACTAAGTAACAGCCGTAACGGCTATTAATATCTCAAAAGGAGAGAACACGATATCATGCGCCTCCTGATGAAAGAATACAACATCCATGAAGTATTCTTACCAAAAAGAGCAAACCCAAATCTGAGAAAGCCTCAAAAGTCGACTACTGTGTGATTCACCACGATAACAGAATGAAGGACAAAAGCCACATACATGATCATCTCAATCGATGCAGAAAAAGCATTTGGCAAAATTCAACATACTTTCATGATGAAAACACTCAACGAGCTAGGAATAAAAGGAAATGATCTCAACATAATAAAAGCCACATGTGAAAATATATGCGCCACTGCTAACGTCGTGCTCACTGTCCCTAAGATCAGGCACAAGGCAAGGATGTCCACTCTCGCCACTTCTTTTCCACAGAGTATTAGAAGTCCTAGCCAGAGCAGTTAGGCAAGAAAAAGGAAGAAAAGGTATCCAAACTGGAAAGAAAAAAGTAAAGTTATATCTGTTCTCAGATGATATGATATTATACATTGAAAACCCTAAAGATTCCACACACAAAAAAGACTTGTTAGAACCAGTAAGTGAAGTCAGCCAAGCTGTGGGATACAAAATGACACAAATATCAATTGCTTTCTATACATGAACAAGGAACAATCTAAAAGAAAATTACAAAAACAATTCCATTTACAATAGCATCAAAAAGAATAAAATACTAAGGGATAAACCATAAAGAAGGTGAAAGACATAAACAGAAAACTGCAAAAAATTGCTGAAAGAAATTAAAGGAGACAAAGACATCCCATGTTCATGGGTTGGAAGACCTAATATTGTTAAAATGTCCGAACTACCCAAAGCAATCTACTGATTCAATGCAATCCCTATGAAAATCCCAATAGCATTTTTGCAGGATAGAAAAAAATATCCTAAAATTTACATAGGATCTCAAGGGACCCTGAATGACCAAAACAATTTTGAAAAAGAAGAAAATGTCTGAGGCCTCACACTTCCTGATTTCAAAACACATTACATACAAAGTGACAAAGATAATAATGTGTACAAAAGAGTGTGGCATCAGCGTTAAGGACAGCCATCCAGACCAACTGAACACAACAGGGAGCCCGGAAATAAGCCCTAGCACGTGTGGTCAAAGGATCTCGACAGGGTGCCAAGAATGGGGAAAGGACAATCTCAACAAATGGCATTGGGACAACTGGATATCCGAATGCAAAAGAATGAATTCAGATCCTTCACACAGTACACAAAACGGAACTCAAAATCGATTAAAGGCCTAAATTTAAGGCCTAAAACTATAAAACTCCTAGAAGAAAACATAGGGAAAAGTTTCATGACATTGGATTTGGCAATAATTCCTTGGATGTGACACTAAAAGCACAGGTAACAGAAGCAAAAATAGATAAATGGGACTACAACAAAACTTACAAAACTTCTGCTCATCGAAGGGATGCCTGCTCTCTGCCACCCAGGCGGCCCCACCCAGACCCCCAGGCCCTGCCTGACATGCCCCCTTCCCCCATCCTCCACCATGCCCTGCCTGCCCCTCTGCCCACCTGCCTCCCTGCCCCACCTGCACCCCTCAGACTCTCCTGCCCCACCTGCCCCCTGCCTCGCCCTGAGAGTTCTCTAGCCAGTTTCCCATCCCTCCACCTGCCTCAGCCTCAGAGTTTCCGTGGTCAGCTAGCTGAAGGCTGCCCCAGAAAGTCCTGAACTGGAGATCATCCAGGCACAGGGACTTCCGGGAAACCAGGCTCTCCCCTGTGATCGAGTTTGTTTCTCGTTGGCACAGGTCTAGACTCACCTGGTTCCACCCGCTCATGCCTTCTCAGTCAGAGTGGGGATTTTGCATTTGCCTTTTCACTTTACACTCACCAGTCGGGACTGCCAGCAAGCCTGGCTAAAGGCAGAGCCACGTGGCCAGGGGAACAGCTGAGACCTGGCCATGGCTACAGCCTGGGTCCTGGTGCCGGTGACCATGGTGCTGGGTTTGACTACAGCAGGCCCTGTCACTGCTCCCAAGCCCACCACAACTAGGAGCGGCTGCCACATCCATCCGTGGGTTCCAATTTCTGTCACCTCATGGAGCCGAAGCCTTCAAAGCCAAGGACACGTTGAAAGAATCGCTCCTACTAAAAAATTAGCTGCAGCTCTCACCTCGTCCCAGAACCAGGAACGTGGGGCAGCTGCAGGTGTGGGAACACTCTGTGGCTTTGCAGGCCAAGCTAGACCATAGCTGACTTGTCCCCAGGAGTCGTCCCGGACTAGCTGCTTTGTCAAGGCTCACTACAAAGCAGGCCCCAGCCCCTGTGGCCACCTCCACCACTGGCTGTGCCAAGTAGTCCCAAGGCTGCCTCGAGGCCTCTGTCACTTTCAGCCTCTTCTGTCTCCTCAGTGAGACCTGAAACGTGTTGCCAGTGGAGACCCGCACATCAGAGAACCTGCACCCACCCCCAAGCCGCCCGGGACCCACACCTTACTTATGCACTAAGCCCCACCGGGCCTTAAGTTATTTCCTCTCATCCCTTATTTACGAAGGTGCAGCCCTGACTCATTATCATAGAAATGTTTATTTTTCTACTCTTGTAAACAGTAAGGAATTGGTAAAAGAACCGGCTACCAATTTTCAGGAGACTGAGTGAACAGAGGAAAATGTTCAACAGCAGGGCTGCAATAAGCAAAACTTGGACTCCAGCACTCTCTAAAGGGCAATCCGGTTTCTTCAGCAAACACATTCCAAAGAAGAAGAGAAAGATGGGGCCCCTACCGTCGTTAGGGACAGTCCATTAGAGTAACGGTGATTTTAAGAGCTACCTACCGATTGCAGTGTAGAGAACTTATCTGAGCCCTGATGCAAACAAACTGTTTTTAAAAGACAGATTTATGAGAAAACTGGACATGAGAACACTGACTGGATATTCGTTGCTATTAAGGAATTATTACAAAAATTCAGATATGATAATAGCATTCATTGCATTTTAAAAGTTGTCATCTTCCAGATTCACGTACTGAGACAGTCACAAATGAAATCAATGTCTGGAATTTTGCTTCTAGGGAATTTAGGAGTGGGGAAGTGGAGGACAGGGAGACAGGAAACCACAAAGACCACAAGTTGGTAATTGCTGAACCACTGAAGCTGTTTTGTATAAAAAAGAAAAAAAAAAGTGGCTTAAGGAAGATAACAGCATCGGGGACCCAGCCCCATCCAGCTACTGCCTCATCCCCTACTTCACTGGGCTTCTGCCTCTGTCTCACATGGCTGCTCCATTCCAGACAGGAAGGAAGAGCTGGGTGGGAAGGACATGTCTCAGAAGCCACGCAAAGCGCTTTTCCATCCCAGGGACCCGACAGTCATATAACGTCTGGGTGCAGGAGAGGCTTGGGGAAGGCACTTTTTATTCTGGATGGCCATGTATCTAAAAATCAGGGCTTCCACTACCAAGGGATAAAGAGGGACTGGATACAGGGGTTCAATTCGCAGTGTCTGCCACAGCGCTCATCCCTCCGAGACTGGAACAGGCGTGTGGGGTGCCACAGATCGGTGCTCGGAGCTGCCAGCAGAGCCAATGCTGTACAGCTGGTGGGCCTGATGATGTTTAAATATGCTTGTCATTTACATATACCAATTAAGCAATCTGCTTGAAGTCTCTGCTCCACTTTGGATGCAGAAGAGTGTCTGGCTTCCTTTGCTCTCCCAGGCTGGGTGCTCATCTCTGGGAAGCTGCTGTTTCTGGCAGCCAAGATGGTAGGTGTCATTGCCTATGCTGTAGCTAAAATCAAACCCAGCACCTGGGTCTTGGTCTGGCCTGAGGCCTGGATATTTGGTCAGCCAGTGCATGATGAAATGGAGAAATCTATCCATCCAGTCTCTTCCCCAGCAACTGAGCCGCCTCCTGGGGCCAATCCAGCAGAGTGGTCAGCATTTTGGGCACAGAGACCCTGCTGGTACTTGAGACCCGGATGTCCCCAAACCACAGCAACTCGTATACCACCCTTAAGCTTTTTGCCATATATTTTGTTTTTGAATCAACCCTCATTTATAAAAACACTTTAAATTAATTTTTAAAGGAATCGCCTATCATTGCTGTCGATAGAAAACATGATGGCCTGCCCTAAAAAACATGTAAGTGAAAACCTAGCTAAGATTCTGCCAAAGACTCCAGGTCTGACCCCTGCTTTCTCTTTGTTCAAGACAAGATAGCCTTAAACTGACTTCCTCTTTGAGGCATTTAAATGGATTGAAAGAGTTAATTTTTTTCCTAACACCCTTCAACGTTATTTAATGCCTGTCGGTCACCACCAACAGTCATTTCTCCTGGGCTATGCAGTCCCACTCCTGAGAAACATGACTGAACTCTGTACACCTGCTTCCCCATCTGTACAATGGGGACCCTAACGGTACCTATCTTACAGGAGTGTTGAGATTATTATATGAGATCACGCATATAAAGTGCCTGGCTCAGAGTATGAGCATGCAAATACTGGCTATTCTCAGTTTCATGGAGAAAACGTCATGAAAAAACTAAATATGACTTGAGCGAAAAAATAAAAACCCAAAAACCTGAACAGCTCAAACTTCGAAGCAGCAGGGAAGGGGGGACATAAAATCCCAAACACTTTATTTAATAATGGAACATACTTTATTATTATTTTTTAAACCATCTCTCGACATTTCAACTCTTGGTAGAAATCAAATGCACAACATCTGCATCTTTAAATTAGCATATATTCAACGATCTCAATCACAGCAACCTCAGACAGTAAGATGCACACCGAGGAGGAGCACGGTCAGAGCACTTCGTATTCCAGTCCACAAACACCGGACTCCCGTGATGATGCGCACACTGGACTCTCTCTCCTAGGATGAGTTAGTTCCTGCTTTTGTCCTCTGTGAGTTACGTGGCATCACAGTTGCTTAAAAGAGTGACTGTAGTGCTGGAGCGATCTGGAAATGGAAAACTAGAAAACTAGAGCTCTCAGGAGTGGGACAGGCATTGACACTTCTGAAATGTGAAAAGGAAGAACAACAAAGATGAATGCCCCAGATCGGGGTGGTCTTAGTAATAAAGTTGGTTGAAATTCAGCTTTATATATACACTGAATATCTACATGTGATCTACCAGATATATATATATATTTTAAAAAAAAAGAGCCATAGAAGATTTGAAAAACCTTATAATCATTCGAGCTGGAAGAACATCAGCAAATTGCAGTGGCCTCAGGATTCAGCCAGATTTAAATTTGCTCAAGAGCTGAAAACCTTCCACTGGAAAGCCCACTGCGTGTCAATTCCTGTAACATTCTGTACATCACAAACACTTATGGCTAAAATATATTATTAGTTCACAAAGAAGCGGTTTTATTTTCAAACTCTTGCCCCACTCCTGCTCTGTACCCCGGAAGGAGAATCTGGGGCTCGAGTCATTCGCATGAGGAGTTTAAGGGGCCTCCGGGTTTGGAAGCGCTTAGGCTCAGCTGAGAATCTCAGAAGACATGTCTGATGCGCTCACGCCAACTCCTGCCCACTTTTAGTGCAAAAAGATTGCAGAGTCCTGGAAACAGGAGAAGAGAGGACTGCGATGGGAATCTCGAACGAGCTTCCTTCTGTAACGAGACTCAAGAAGTTTGGAGTGCAAGGTTCACACTTGGCAAGTGGCAAAGACCAGGCTGTAGATCCCAGGTGAGGTTCCTGACTCGTCACTAGGTGATCAGTCTGCAGGTGCACAGAGCTCTCGGCCCGCATTCGCCCCCGAAGTGCACACTGGAGGTAGGTGTATAGATTTATTGTAGGGAAGACAGTGGCTCTCCGACTCAGGGACATCGTCTCTGCTCCTCCTCTGCCCCCACACTCTGCGTTACCCTCGGGCTGGGGTCAGTGGAAGACACAACACAGAAGAGCACGAGACCCTTCCTTGGAAGACTAAAGAACCCGGGGCATTTTTATAAATAGCTACATAATTAACGTTTTAACCACTTTGAAACGCACAGCAAGTTGAATATTTATTTAAAAATAAATCTCAAAAATATCTATGTACAGTACAGTAAGAAGGGCATGTGCAAACAACAGAAAGGGGGAAAGTCAGTTCTGCCGTGGAAAGTCCACACTTCCATGTGTCGGAGCAAAGTTCACAAACACCACAGGCTGAACGGAGCTGTGGCGGCAATAGGATGACATTCAGCTAATACTGGACTCGGTTCGCTTTTGAAACCTGGGGGTGTGGGGCGAGCCATGGGCAGGGAGTCCGGTGGGGGGGATCTTTATATTTGGGAAGGGGGCAGCAAAGGGATGAGCCATTGGAAGAGGCCCACTGTGGCCGGAGGGCTCATTTCACAAGCCAACAGGCCTCTAGCTTGCTGCTCCAGGTGGGCATGTGGAGGTGACCTGGAGGGTCCTTCCCAGTCCAAGCTGGCTTTGCAGTGGGAGGGGTGGGTGTGGCTTGAGTCCCAGAGATAGAAATCCTCCAAAAACAAAAAACAAAACAAAAACAAAAAAAAAAAGACATGAACTAGGGAGTGGAGTGATTAGTAAAAATGAATCTGAACGGAAGTGCCACCCTCTCCCTTCTCAGGCAACAAAGCAGCTATCGACTGAAATAACTGAGTCGCTAAGTAAACTCCCACATGGCGCAGCCAACCCACGATCCCTGCATGGTCAAGTGCAGGTCTCTGCTTCCCACATCAGTGCGTTGACACTTCTTCCCCATGAAACCAGAAAGGTCAGTGGTGTAGCCCTTGCAGCAGGAAGGTACAAGATCCATTCTATCTATACACGAGATGGGAGAACTGGGTGGACTTGTAGTTCAGCTGGTTGTTGGGCATGAACTTGTGCAGCTCACTCTTTTTGCAGCAGGGGTCAAAATGGTAGGCGATGAGGCAGGCATCGCAGGAAACTTTTGAACACTGGGTGCAGGTGTTGGTGGCACCTGGGCGATTACAGAAGCCACAACGAGAGGTGGCTGCGGTGGAGGGCTTGGATTTTGAATGGAGGTGCGCCAGCCGGTCAGGGGCCTGAGTCTGGCCTGCATACTTTTCCCTCAGAGATGACCCGTGGGCCAGGCTGTCGTGGGTGGAGGCCTTGCTGGGGAAGGCGCTGGGCTTGGAGGCCGGAGCACAGGGGAGCAGACTGTCGCAGCGCTGGCAGAGGGCGGAGCTGCAGGCCAGGCCGCAGTTTTGGCACTTGGATAGGGCGGACTCTTTGGCGGGGGGTGAGCGCTTGTGGTAGAGCGGGTGGGCATCATTTCTGACCAGCCATACATCCGGCCGCAGGGCGTCCTGCCTCCGGTATGTGGCCCTAGGTTCCGAGTCTGTGTACAGATCCACGTCATCCTGAGCGGAGAGGTATGTGCTGCGCATCAGGCCAAGGCCGTTGTTGGAGGAGGGGAGCAGAAGGTCATCCGGGCTGCCATGGGGGGAGCTGGACATGGTCAGGAGTGAGGGGGACGGGCGGATGATCTCGTCTTTGAGGTCGTCCCCCACGTCTGCTGCCACAGTCTCCTTCCGCAGGCTCAACGAGGCCTTCAGGGGTGGCTTCCGGCTCTCCCAGTAGCTGTCGTAAGCGTCCACTGACCTTGAGGGCTTGGTCACACGGGGCTTATAGTAGTCCTTAGCTGCCCGCTCGCTGGCCGACTTCTGAAGCGCCACGCGGGCCATCGAGGCTGTCAGGTGCTCCCGGCTCTCGGCCCGCCGCCGCAGGGCGTCGGAGCAGCCGCGCACATCCTCCGCACTGCTCTTACGCTCGCTCACGACGTCCAGCTCAGAGTAGCCCTTGTCCTTGACTTGTGAGTGGATTTCCAGCATCTGTTCACACTCCACTTTGGCCAGAAAGAGTTCGAAGGAGACCATCTTCACCTGGAGGGTCTCCACGAACTCTTTGAGCTTGTACGCAGTCCCCAACTCGGGCACGTAGCCCATGTAATTCAAGATGGTTCGGATGTCCTCTTCCAGTAACGTGGACTTGACATAATAAACGAAGGGGCCTGTGTAAGTCTAGGAGGAAGAGGGGGCAGAAAAAGAGGCGGGCCTGTCTCTCTGAGACACACAAGGGAGACTGCCTCAAAGCACAGTGCCTCCAAGTCTGAACGAGCGTGGGGAACCGCAGAAAGGGAAGGGAATGATCTCAACAGCTTCTCACTACAGAGGCAGAGGCTAATGCTTACCAACAGCGCAGCGTGCTGGCGTGAAGGAAGCGACACATCACTCCTTTCCTAAGTGTGGGGAACAAAGCCATTCGCTTTCCGCATGGGGCACAGCAGCTCTGCTCCCTACGAGGAGCAGGCAAACTCGGAAAGAGAAGGGACTGGATCAGAGGCAGGTGTCTGATGAAGACTGGAAATACTCCTTTCTGGCATTTCTGCAAAGGTCTGAAGTATATGTCAGGCTTAAGAGCCTGATTTGGTAGAAAGCCTCCTGAGCCATCACTACCTTCAAAATGACAGAGAAGTCCTTCTCCTGTTATGCCTGGACGTCCACGGCAGCCTCCTAACTGGTCTCCCCACCCCACTCCTGCCGCACCATGCTGCAGCCCGCACCAGCCAGAAAGATTCCCTTCAACTGTAAACTGATCCCAGCCCTGCCTTGCTTCCCAGCCCACTTCGGATAAATCCATGCCCTCTGCCCTGGGCTTCAAGGTCCTGCGCAACCGGGGTGCTGCCTGCCTATCCGACCTCCCAGCTGCAGATGTGAGCTGTCAGGGGCGGGTACCCAGCTAAAAGAAGACACTGGACAGGAAGGCAAGGCCAGGGAGCTGGGAGGTAATCCTGGTTGTTATCTCAAAGGCAGTGGGGAACACGGGAGGGTCCGCGGGCAGAAGAGGGATGTGATTGGACTGGCGTAAGTCCTCTCGAGACGGGTTGGAAGGGGCAAGAAAGTGGAAGGGAGACCAGTGTGGCGGGCCCTTCCCTCGGCCTTACCTTGATGCTTCTGAATTCCTTCTTCCACGGGTAGAGGAAGAGGTTGACACCCACCGTTTCCAGCACGCTGAAGGCGCAGTGTAAAGCCCGCAGGCTGGAGGAGCTCAGGGCGCGCAGGGAGCTCTCAACCACCTCGTAGAACTGGATCAGCCGGAATCGATAAAACGGATCCACCTTGTGCAGGCTGAGCAGGGTCGAGGCTGCCACCCGCAGGTGCTCGTCACCACCGGGCCGCTGCTTGCTGGGGGTGGTGTCCACTTTGCTCTCATGGAACTGCACATACTTCCGAAATAAGTCATCCTTATATTTTGTATCCATTGAACTGGGCTTCCCCATCCGATCCAGGGAGGGGGGCTACCTTATCTCCTCCATGGCCTCTGGGTTAGATGCAGGGACATTGCTATAAGCACTGACATGTTGCCCACCTGGACCAGCGGAGTACTCTGGAAGGGGAAGAACAAGAAGCACATCATTCCTTGAAATGGCCCACGTGCCAGTTGTGGCTGCTAAGGCAAAACAAAACACAGAACTGGCCTGGAGTGCAGTGGGCACCACCAGCCCTGGGCCGCATTCTGCTCATTCACTCAGTGCTTTTACTGAGCATATACTACACCAAAGGTTATAGTGGAAACGCGACAAACGAGGCCCTTGCCTTGGCTGAGCTCACTAATGAAAAATATGATTGGGGGCGCCCGACTGGTTATGTGGGAAGAAGGAAAAGTTTTAAAAGACTGACAGTTAAACCTGAAGGAGGAGGAGTGTGCCGGGCAAAGCGGTGGGCGAAGGGTGTCACAGCAGAGGCGTCACCAGGGAGAAGGGCCCTGGGCTAACACTACCAGTGCTGACTACGTGCCAGGTGCGTATCCCATGCTAACGCATTCCGTCTTCTCAAACAAGGAGACGGGTATGACCAGTATCTCCATCCTACAGATGTGAAAACCAGGACGTAGAAAAGTTAAGAAACTTGCTAAAGTTACAGGACTATTAAGAAGCAGGCTGAGATCAGAGCTCTGCCAGTCACGCTCCAAAGTCCATGCCTTGCCCAGCATGTCCTGCTTTCCCAAGGCAGGGAGGAAAGAAGTGGCTATGAACAGAAAGACGTCTACGTTGTGGCTGAAGCAGTGAGGAGAGGCGTGACACGAGATGAAGCTGCAGGCGTATGCAGCACCCTGGTCCCCAAGGCCTCGAAGAGCACTTAAAAATGCCACATTCCTTCCAAGAGCTGTGTGAAGCACCTGTCAGAGTTCAAAGCGAGGGGGAAAGACCGGATGGAATCTGCGATTTTAAAGAGAGACTTAAAGAGCTGGCTGCTGGCCCCTGGACAGTGCCTTTATCTGCCTGACAGGCTGGCTCCCCTTTACCTGAAGAGCAGCTTACAGCAACGCTGGGAGAAGACACAGTGTTCTGAGCTGGGACACACAGGGTCTATACACTTGCTATCTGCTTGGCCACCCGTCAGTAGAACGAGTACAGATCCAGCAATATTCCTGATGCCACAGTGTTGGAAGCAAATCGCATTCACTGAGGGACACTGCCAGGGTAGGCAACAAAGCACAGTGGTGACAAAGAGATTCTGAAGCCAGATTGCCTGGGTGTGAATCCTGGGTCTGCATCTCAAGGTTACCTGGGCAAATGACTCCACCTCTCCGGGCTTTCTCATCTGGAAAAGGGGGTTAATAACGGTACCTGGAGTCCGGAGTTGTTAGAAGGATCGTATGCAGCCAGTCTGCAAAGCTCTTCCCTGAGTGCTCAGAGGAAGCCCTTGATAGACGAGCGGCAGCTCCCGGTGTCTGAAGGTGCTGCCTCCCAGGATGCCAAGCACTCTCAGGATGGTAAGATCGGAGCGGGGCAAACATCTCTGGCCGGGCCGTAGATGTGCATTTCCACACTCTCCTGCCCTGCCTTTCTTGACCACAGCTCCACAGGTGCAGGGATCATGACAAATTACTCAGTAATGTAACCAAAGCACAGTGCCGGGGGAGGCCACGTGCCTCATAAATACCAGCTATCTGACTGAAGGAGGCTCCTGCTGGCAGTGGGAGACGGCAAGAGACTGAGAAAGAAGCTGCAGTGGGATGGGACAGACCTGTGGAGCCCTTCCGCAGATGTGAGTTCAGCTCCGCAAGTCCTAAAGGCCTACGAGCCCAGCAGCTATCACAAGGTCAATAAAATCACCCACGTCCCAATGACCCACTCGTCTGGCTTCTCCACAGCTTTGGGGAATAAGAAGCGAGACATGTAGGACACAGGGAGGCCACCTTCTCCCACCCATTACCCTGCCAGTGTTTCAGAAACAAACAGAACAGATAATAAGCTCTAGGAGCACATAAGGCAAACACAAATCCACTTAGGATAAAAGCTACCTCCTAAGCAAGGTCAAAGGCTCTACGTGGTCAGATCCCTGCTCACCTCTCAAAGCAGCATTTCCCTTCTCTCAGTTCCACCCGCACAGACCTTTCTGTCTGTTCCTCAAACACGTTAAACTCATCTCTATCTCAGGACCTTTTTGCACACGTTGCTTCTCCATGTTTCTACTCTGATTCTTCCCATAGCTGGCTCACTCTCACTCAGGCCGCGGCTCAAATGTCGACCCTCAGTGGCCCTCCCTGACAGCCCCAGCTCAATAACTCCCTCCTTCCCAGTTATCCTGGGATAATCACCATCTGAAATTATCAACTTTATTTACTAGCTTCCTCTCTGTCTCCCCCTTTACCCAGAAAGCTCCATAAAGACAAGGACTGCACTTCTTTGTTCACCACGATGCCTAACACAGAGCCCGGCCCTTGGCAGGCGTTTGATACAACCGGTGAAATGAACGATGCAAAGAATGTAAGCATTCAAGATACCGCTCCATCAGTTTCTCATTTAGCTCTCCCAAGAATCCTGGGAGATCAGCTAGAGAGGAAAGGAACAGAGGCTCCTCGACATGCCCTAAGTAGCTCAGGGCTAGCAAAGGGCAAGACTGCAAGCCTGGCCTTCTAACTTGGCACCTGTATTCCTCCCACCACTCCAGGACTCCTGAGTTCAAAGAGTATTTATGCAGCTTCTACCTCGTGCCAGGCCCTGGGCTGGGTGCAGTGGGGGGATATGGGGTAGGTAGGAGCAGTAATGGACAACAGTTGAGAAGACACAGCCCTGCCCTCAACTCCAGCGGAAGGAGCTTACTGTCTGGTATCAAAGTATGCATATTCTCTTAAAAAAATAAAACTGTATTGCAACTTGAAAGAAGACATCACTGTCCTTGCTAATAAAAACCCACATGCATTTACCAATTTTTATTTATCAAAGAGAAGCTTACATCCTGCCTCTGTCCCCAAAGACTGTCTTTTTGGTACACTGAGAACAATCTAAACAGAGGGACAGCAAGCCTCCTAAACACTGCTGTGAGTTTTCTGCAAGGAAGTCAGCCTCCAGCCCATAGAAGCTGATTTTTTTTTTAAGTCAGCCACCCTCGAGCTCAGTGTCTGCCGCTCTGAAATCATACCATAATCCACACCCTTGTTTGTTGCTGCCAAACAATAAAGAAAGAAAAGGATCCAAACAGCCCAGTTGGTGTTCAAAACCCTAAAGTCAAGGATGGGAAACCCATCTAAGAAGTCTCGAACCGACCTAGGCAAGTGAGGAAAAGGGTGAAAGAAAATAAATGCTAAAAGACAGTTAAAGAAAGGAAAGCGAGAAGGAAATAGTTATCCTACGTGCTAAGCTTTGGGCTTTTCCGATTCAACTGCGTCAACCCGCTTCATCCGCACGACAACGCTATGAGGAAACCAACAGAGCTTCAAAAGCTCAGGACTGCAATATGAACCTGGGCTGGCCGGCCCTGAGGCCTGTGCTTTTTCCCATTTCTCTCGCTCATTTATTGTTACACTTAGTACCATTCACTGAGGGATTAGTACATGAGGGCCTTCTACTGAGGCTCAATAAAAATTAATGAAATCCATCCAACAGCCCCAAGGTTATAGAAGAGGAAACTGACGCTCGGAGAGGACCAAGTCACAGGCTAGAAAGAAATACAGCTGAGATCTGAACCACAGTCTGATGCCAAAGCCCTGATTCAAGCTCTGGGCTGCACAGCTTTTATTTATTTATTTATTTATTTTTTAGGCGAGGCGACCCCTGGTTGACCTCACAGATTGCAAGGACCTTGTCAGCTTACGATCCCTTATTTTTTAATTTTTTTACGCCTACAGCACCTGCTTTTCCTAGGTGGTCTCCCATCCAAGTACTAACCAGGCCAGACCCTGCTTAGCTTCTGAGATCAGACGGGAACGGGCTTGTTCAGGGTGGCATGACTATAGACTGCACAGCTTTTAAGTAAAGCTGCCCTGCTACATCTGCTGGACAGCACTACTTCAAAGGGCTCAGCTAAGCTAGAATGCCCTGTGGCCCGGCAAGCAGAGCTGAGTTCCAAAAATTCCTGTAGTAGCAAAATTCACATCTTCCCACACAAAATTAGGCTAGAAGAGCTACAAAGCTCTATGATGTAAGCTCAAGGGCCAAGGAAAGAGGCTGGCCAGAGACCGGCCAGTGGTAAGGCAGCTGACATCATCCGTCCTGAATACATTTTCTGAGAATACAGACCGCATTATAACTGGTCGGGTCATAGCTGGTATCTTTTCTGAGCACAGAACCAGCAATCTATTCCCAGCACTCTGCAAGAAACAAAAACACGCTCACTGCAAAAACAGCGTGGTTACAGGAGACCAGACAGCGCGGTGACACAAGCTGTTAATTTCTCCAAGCAACCCAAGGACTGGAAAGCCAAGACGTGCCAGTCTGGCAGAAAAAAAAAAAAAAAAAATGGCACTGTGAACATCCCTGACAGTGTCAGATAGGTGCCTAGAGCCAACGGGCCTGGTCAGCACTTCCTGCACCCATAATATTTGGGCCCCTTTGAAAAGCAAATCAATGAAGAGACAGATATCACAGTCAGGGAGGGGGTGGCTTTTTAATTTATTTTTTTAAACATCTCAAAAGAAAGCTGTGTCTGTTTAAAACCCTACTGATGGATTTGAAATGATTCTGGGTAGCAAAGCATTAGCTTGGCTTTACCTCAGCTGGCCCATTCAAGCAGAAATGTTCCCCAAGCAGCATTTGAAGGCGCCCCCTCCCTGCACAGACAGGAGCTATTTTGGTCTCAGCACTGCCCCAGTCCACAGGTTTACAGATCTAGCTTCAGCGGGCTCAGAGTTCCTTCAGCCTCCAAACAGCACCAGGGTGAGAGCAGTTCAACCCCCTCCACCTCCGCGCCCGACTCTTTTGCACTCATTCCAAGACCGAGGCTCCAAAGACACAGCCAAGGCACCTTCCACTGGTTGTGAAACACCAGAGAGTCCCCACACCCCAACTGGATTCCAGAAAGATACAGAGACAGGCCTTCCAAGCCTCTGAAAATAACCTCGGCGGTGCTGAAATTGGGCTTCCCTAGTGGCAGCTGCCTCTCGGAGGGGCTCTGAAAGAAGCGGTTTTGTCTCCCTGCAGGGGACAGAAGCTGGCGGCTGCTATTCCCAGCCTGATCATTCCTACAGCCCCGGAGAACTACGTCAGTTGTGAAAAATACCCTTGTCCCAAACTCGGGCCCTCCCCACGGGTCTGCGAATGAATTAACAGCAGCTATCATTTACTGGACGCCTGCTGTATGCCAGAGACCGTGCTTCACACGCATCTCATCCCATCCCCACTACGGTACTAGCAGGGAGGTTCATTCCCATTTAACAAATTAGGCAACTGAGGCTCGGAAGATGAAATGACTTGTCCAAGGTCACACAGTGAGTACAAACCCAAGTCTGCAGCCAAAAACTGGGCTGGGGGCCACCGAGCAGTAACTGCCCCACGGTGGAATCGGGGTGTCCTCCTGCTTGATTAGTCGCCGAAGAGGGGGTGTTCCTCCTGAGCTTCCCTGAACCACCCTTGGCTGGTCCTAGGTGTCTGCGAGGCAGCCCTTGGGGGAGGACAAGGTGAGACCCCGGGGCGCCGAAAGGGCCGGCCCACCACCAGTCGCCCCGGCCAGCCGGTCGCGAGAGGACTCGGCTCCCTGGCCGCCAAGCCCCGCGGAGTCGGGCGCCCCCTGCGCCCGGGGAAGCCCCACAGGCCGTTTCCGCCCGCGGCTGCCCACACTCACCCAAGCACTGCCGCCGAGGACGCCCCGGCCGGGGGAAGCAAGAAGGAGCCGCGGCCGCCGCCGGAGCCGGGCCCGGCTGGGCTCTCGCCGCTCCGGCCGGCTGCAAGAGACCGAAACCAGTACTCCGGGGCCAGCGGCGACCCGGAAACACTCGGCCAGGAAGTGACGTCCCTAGGAGGCGGGCCCAAAGGGAGGCCAAGCCGCGGCTGCGCGCTGGGCCGGGGAAAGGCCGATGCCCACGGGCGGCGAAGGAAGAAGCGAGAGGTAGAAGAGCAAGCACAGAAGCCGCAGAATCCCGCTTTGAGGACTGAAGGACTGCTGCCCCGAGGGGGCTAGGACCCGGAAATAAACCGGCCGGAAATTACGCACACCGTCGGCCCCGGAATGGCAGCTAGCCGGGTTGTCATGGAAACCGCTAAGCAGCCGGATGGTGGCGTCTCCGAGCTGCTAACGCAGACTGAGCGACCCCCGGACCTGACCTCACGGAGATGATCCCCGAAGTGCGCCTGAGCGGGAGCTGACAGTTGGATCCCTCGCCTCCTTTTTTACAGGCGAAAATACCGAGGCTTAAAGAGCGCAAGAGATGCCCAGGATCACCTGATACTGAATCTAGCCTTGGGAGGACTGTCGATGTTACAGTCGCTAAGAGTGGGGTCCCAGCTTTGCCTTTGCCAGTTATTATCTGTGTGACCTTGATCAAGTTACTTACTTAACCTCGCCAAGCCTCAGTTTTTTCACCTGTGAAATGGAATAATAATAGTACAGCCTCATGAGATTCATATGAAATTTAAATGAGTTTATAATTAAATGAGTTTATATATGGAAACTGCTTATTACAATAGTTGGCATATAGTAAGGATCTAAATAAGTTTTGCTTTTTTAAATGGAAGTCAGCATTGGGGAAGACCAAGGCAAAATATTGCCCCCTCATCTTGTGACTTATCACCAGTCACCTGGCAGTACCCAGATGGTCTACATTGGCATCGATACTGGTGGCTTGTCACTTCACTTAATGGATTTGTCTATACTCCCACCTACCACATTGCCCGTGAGCTCCCTGAGGACTTGGTTTTGTGGTTCACCACTCACTGAATCCTTAGTGCTTGCAAAGTCAAAACTGTTAAACATACTTGTGATTGAACCATTTATTCTCTCTCTCTTACCTATCTAGACATTTATTAAAGACTCAGAGCCTACTCCATGCTAAGTTCTCTTCCTCCAACATGCACTTGGCTCCCTGGACTTACCATGCTCTTCTCCCTTCTGGCCTCTGTGCCTCTACATGCTGTTCATTCCACGTAAATGTCTTTCCCCTCACCTTGTCCCTTCCTTGCTTTCTTGGCTTCCAGCCCCGGCTCAGCCCTTACACCTTTTCTGAAACTTCCTCTCATTTCTCCAGGCAAAGACCTGCCTTTCTCTGGTTCCCCACAACAATGCCATAATTTTATCTCAGCTCTTACCACAGTGGATTAGATATATTTTTAAATCTGACCCCCCACACACACACACAAGACCTGGAGCTTCTTATACATCTGTGTTTTCCCTGAGCTATGACTATGTCTGATCATGAGGTACCTAACAGATGTTCCTTGATTGCAGGATTCTCTCTCTCAGCCTTGGTGACCCCAGCTAAAGCTGATGAGTCTTATCTCAGGCGTCAATGACATAATACATGGGGAAGCATTCAGAGAACCAGCAACCTGCTATTCAAACAGCAGCGATTACTATATTTATCTGTTGCTGTCTTAGTCCCACTCAGGGTCTTTGTATACTTCAGCCTTTATCAGCTCACATTTAAGTTCCTCCCTTAATCACCCAAGAGGTGATGGTGTTTACAGCAATTCCAGGTATGAAAAACTGTCCCATCCGAACTCTCTGCCTTTACAACAACTCATAATTGTCCTTTGGAAACTGTTTCAAGACTGCATGAGACTGCTAATAAGTCCCTTCCAGCTCTGTGGCTCTGTGACAGACAAAAGGGAAACAGATTTTTAAAAAGGCTTTACTAGTAGATGACCCCAGTCATTGAGACTTGGTGGCATTTTGTATCAAAAGAGTCCCAAAGTCTCCGAATAGAGCCATGTTTCTCATCTTTTACACAGGGTTGAAGGCCTGAGAGTTCTCTGCTTAATGACATGGAATCACAGGAACATCTTTTTCAGATCTTATTACATAATGATTAGCAGATTATATAACAGTCATATGACAATGATCAGCTACGTCTACTTCCTAAGATCCAATAACACCAACAATCTACCTACTTCTTTCTATTTTTTGGGGTTTTTTTTCCAAAGCACAAAAGTAACACATGAATTCCAACAACGTGTTTAGAACAAAAAAAGAAAAAGCAATCCTATGACCCAGCAATTTGATTTCTTGGACTGTACCAGAGAAACAAGCATAAGTGCACAAGAGATCTTTTGTATCATTGTTTATAATGCAAAACAAAACCAAAAACATTCTAAATGTCCATCAATAGGGGAATGGTATGACTATTATGTGTCGCTTTAAAAGGATACGAATGACTATTGTATACTGCTTTAAAAGGATCACTAAACCTACTGTGGAATGAAAAAGGAAAGATATACCCTGAAATGGAAAACAAAACATCAACCAATACTACATATTTTCTAAGGAGAGATATATATATATTCAACTGAGGACAATAATACAAATATAGGTCATTGATTTTTTAAATCATTCCACAAATACATGTTATGTGATTTTTATTAATTTCTTTCTTTCCTAGAAGTCAGTAAGCTCCATAAGGACATAGCTATATTTGTTTTGCTTACAATTATATCACTACTATCTACTATATATACATTACCCTACACACAATAGGAAGTTCATCAAAATTTGTTTCTGATGGAAATTTTCATTGAATGTCAGATTTGATGTTAGGTTTAAAGGGCATAACTGTGAGCAAGACAGACACAGCCCCAGCTCTCAAGGAGTGTACAGTCTCCTTATCAGAAAGACAATATGAAATAAGAGTAAGATGAACTAAAAACCCATAATGCAGGATAGACGGTGGTAAATATTATGAATGGGGTGTAGAGCTTAGAGAATGGAGAAGTGACCTCTGACAGGGCAAATTGGGGAGGGCCTCAAGGAGGAGGTGGCATTTAAGCTGGGCTTTGAGTGGGACACGTGAGGTTCTCCAGCTGTCCTTTCAGCTGGAGGGAAGAAAACAATCAAAAGCAAGGACTTGAAATCGAAACAACTGCCTACAAGCGTAGGTGGGCGTAACTAGGCACAAGAGTGCTACAGTCTGATTCTGTGTAGTACTGGAAATGAGTAAAAATGTAGTGTGAGAGCACCTGGCTCACTGCAAGCATTCAATAAATTCTTCAGTGCAAAAACAAATATTGTTGACCCCTTCCGTGCTCCAGCTGATTTTGCCAATCTCCTCACTGTGGTGGTCAGATACTCGGGGTTTCTGAAGAGGAGCTAGAAGTCCAGATTTTCAAATGAATCTTCTCAATTATAAACACCGTGTGTAAATAAACGTCCTAGTTCCATCTGCTGAGAGAGCCTACAAGGAATGCCACCCCTGTAGCAACGAGGATCTAGCACCCAGATTTTGCTTTCTAAATACCATTCTCCACTAAAAGGAACCAAGCCTCCTTGGAGAAATGACTGATGCTCAGGCCGAGGCAGAGAAATTACGGTATGCACCAGGAACATCTTTGTGAGCCAGAAACTAAGGAAATGCCAACAGAATGATGAGACATGTCAAAAAGACACAAAAGGCAGGTTGGAGAGGTTCCTATTGGCCAACGTGGGACAATTTGAACATCAAAATAAGTAACGATAGTGAAGGGGGTCAACAATATTTGTTTTCGCATTGACGGATTTACTGAATGGTAGGGGGTCAACAGTATTTGTTTTGAATTTACCGAATGCTTGCTGTGAGCCAGGTACTCTCAAACTACATTTCCACTCATTTCCGCTACATAGAATGAGACCGTAGTGCTCTCGTGCCTAGTTACGCCCACCCTAATAGAAGCCTCAAGGCGGCCGCAGCTTCCCTTTTCCTAGCCCTGTAGCTAAACAGTAGATTGTCCCCAGTAGCTTGACCCAGAGCTTGGCACGTGCCTTGCCATAGAAAGTTGCTCTGAAACTTATGATTAATGCCCTTATGCTTACTAATCAGAATCCTTCTGATCTAGCATTCTTTCCAGACTCCTCCCATCTTTGTTCCTGGATTGCTAACGCCACCAGAGGACCACGTTGCCAGAGGAACGGCTCCATGAAGCACAACAGACCCCCACCCCCACCCTAGAACTGTCACGCAGCCTCGGAACTAATGCTCAGATTTTCCCTTAAATACCCTAAGCCAGACTGAGGAAGGAAGGCAGTTTTGAAGGTGTTAACCTGCTGCCTTCTCAGATCACTGATGCTCTGACAATAAATGCTTATTCTAAATACCAACTCTTGTGTCAATCTATCGGCTGCGTGGCATAGGCAGCGCAAGCCCCGGACTCGGTTGCCCTCTGGTTTCAATAATAACACGTTATAATACCTTAGTGAGGGTGGGGGAGAAACCATGATCCTATACTTATAGCAAACATAAAATACTGTGCTTTCCAGAAGAATGTGTCTGAGGGCTATATGGCCCTGGGTACCAGGTCTGACCCCTGCCCTAAGGATGGATGGAAAACAAGTAGTCCATCTGGTTAGGCATATGAATGCACAAGGTGAACTGGGAAATCGGGGTGATGAGAATTCAGCCCAGTCTCTGAGGACCTGGCATATCAGTCCAAGAGTCTGGATTTGACCCGTGGGCACCTGGGAGCTACTGAAGGTCTGTGAACAGGAAAGATGGTGATCACAGCCCTTGCTCTCCAAACTAGGTGTTTGGTGCTAGGAGGTAACAAGGTATAGTGGGTAAGAAATCAGTTTCTGCAGTCCCAAGAAGCATGGCACAATGGAACAGAAATGATTCTGCAGCCAGAAGATCTGGGTTCAAGTCCCCAGTACAATATTTAGTAGCCCTGTGAGTTGGGCAAGACCCTCTAAGAAGCTGGACTCTGAAGCCAGAATTACCCGGGTTCTACTTTGCTGTTTACTATGTATGACCTTGGGCAAAATGATATAACCTTTCTATGCCTCAGTTTCTTTTTTGTGAGATGAGAAAGATAACAATAATACCTG